CACACTAAAGAAAGAGTTCCTTGAAATGTTTTCTTTGCAAACGATACCTCGGGGGCTTTATCAATTACGTTTGAGATGTGATCATAAAGTCTAACATTAATAACTAGGCTGTTTCATGAAGTCCCCTACCAACAAAATCCAGATGTATGATATGTGTTGCACATATGAAATTCTACTTAGTATTAAAATTAAAGGATGAAGCGTTGAAATACTCTTCTCTTTTGCTAAATCATCAGACGTGAGTGAAGTTTGTAGCTGTTTGTGTAAGGCTACAGATTTCTTCAAAAATCCTTTTATTCGGTTTGCCGATGCTCCACATTGGCAAGTGTGTATGAGGTGAGGAGAGGGGGGACTGGGTGAGGGAAGGCTGTTGCAGCTTCCTGTAGATCGATTCTTCTGGATCCGGGACTGAAAGTCGACGAGACTCGAGCACACGATAATCTTTCGGAAACTGGTTCGTCAGTCAACGAAGAATCTCCGCTCAGTCTACTAACTAAATCACGGTTTCCTTGATAAAAGGGGTCTTATATCATTGGTGATAGACAGACTATTTTACAGTTGTGGCCTTAGCTACCTCGCCTGCGAGTGAATGTGAGGCTGAAGGTGACCTTGTTTTGATGGAAACCTCCTTTACTTTGTGATGGATGTTGTCCTTGAAAAATACTTGTTAGCATAAGAATAACTTGATTTACATAATAAAGCAGGGAAGTTTATATCACAACAAGGTCACCGTCAGCCTCGCTTCCATCCATAATTGCTCCTTAATTTTGGAGGGAAATTTTAGCGTTAATTTATTTCACTGACAAGTAAAATTAACATGCAATAATTACTGCAATAATAATTTTCCGTGCGTTTTCGACAAGACGCGCGCGAAATTACTCACTTGCCTGTCTACCACTTAATTACACATAAGAATCATATTTTTTTCATTTCATTGAATCATCACTTACATTAGCCCATGACCTTATTCTTTAGTTTAGTATTTAAACAATAAAGTTTTGGAACTCTCTCGGATAAAGTTTTAACCTCTCAATGAGGGGATTAGAAGAAGAAAGTTTGAGTGCAAACAAGCAAATGAAATCTCGCTGTTCTGGTTCAAAATAATTGATAATAAATACTTAATAAGTATTAATCACAATTAATGATAATTATTAAGTCAAGTAAACTCAATCATGTTTGACTCAGAGTTTCGAAAGGCAGGAAACTATAACAAGGAGCGAGCAACTCCCATACTAGGCCTATATCAAGGCGCTTTCATAGACCAGTTTATTTTTTTTTTAGATACATTGTAGAGCAAGCAGTTCTTTCCAGGAAAATGGAAGCTCAGGTCGACCCGTCCATAAGCGCATTTGGAGTATAAGAAAAAGGAAAGTCAGCGTCATTAAAGGGTTAAAAATACCATTTTCAGGTCTGAATGTAGGTGCTGCCTTTTGGTTTGTGGGGAGAAAACACTTTTTAGATTCGCGCCAAAATCGATCTAAAAATAAACTAGTTAGTGAAAACGCCCTGACAAGAGTACATGGAAGTTGTTTGCTCGCTCCGGATTATGGGCTCCTGCAAAAGCCTAACGGAGTGGTTTTTTTTAGAGTAACTTCGTTATGATGTTTTATTTTAGCTCTGTTTTGTTTCAACTTCCCCTACGACTATTGTATAAGCGTTTGCTAGCATTGTTGTGGCTAAACATATCTGCTGTTTTCTTCGACTTTTCCGTTGTTGTGAGTGTTTTCTATATTTTCTCGTCTTGTTAACAGAATTGCCGCCGCATACCTTTTTGGTACCTGATATACAGAAGTCTCACTCATGCGTTTGTACGTATTATACGTAATAACAACATTTTAAAATTGTTCTAGGGATATTGACCTGTTTCTTAACGCAGAATGCTTTTCTTTTTTGAAAAAAAAAAAAAAAACAGTGAAAATATAAAGTTCGAAAAAGTTAAGGACTATGGGCTTACTCTCCGTCACTAAAAAAATAAAAGCACTATTTTATTAATTTTTTTGGCAGGTGTTACCTAAGAATTAGTCAATTCCCTTTTCACCATAAAGTCAAATTCCCATAAAGCATTAACTGAAAAATTATAGCATTAAAGATAATGCAACTATATATAAAAATAAGACTTTTATTCTTCTCATGTTCTGTTGGGAAAACGTGCAAGCTGCATGGTCTAATTTTAAATCTGAGTGATATTCAATAGTGTAAAAACCACTTGACCGTATATAAAAATAAGACTTTTATTTTTGTCATGTTTTATTGGGAAAACGTGCAAGTTGCATGTTCTAAATTTAAATCTGAGTGATATCCTATAGTGTAAAAACTACTCGACCGAAATTTTTTTCACTGATCAAGCTGAGTAGATTGATGAGTATCGATTGACTTACACTTTACGTGCCTTGAATCTGTAAGTGCGACCATTTTAGCGCAGAGTTTTTAACGAGTTTCCTGTGTTGCCTTTTGTTTACTCTTAGTTTTTTACTTCAGCATTTTATTCCTTGGTTGTGGTTAACCTTGATTAACTAGTTAAAAAACCAAAATTAAGATAAATTCGAATACGTTTTAGTTGAATTTAAAGATTGAATTTTCGGATCATATGAGTTCATGTTTGCTCGACAGTTTCAAAGACCAATCTAGTTGTCGAGTTTTTCCTTGCCACTTCGAACGCCTTTCGAGGCTAATGATTCAATCTTGATTTGATCCAATCGTTCGCCTGAGAATAGACTCTCATTTGCGTAAAATGTTTGAAAACGTCTCTAAGTGTTAAACTGTCGCGGAATATAAATTACACCTATCGTCATTTGCCTAAAGCTTAAGTAGTTTTCAAATCATGATGCGGCTCAGTTTGAGAATCATATTTTATTTCTGATCATGACGTCATTCATTTGAAGTAGTGTTTTATTGCAAGCATACCTAGTCAGTTGAACATTCCTACTTGTTTGAAAACAAAAAAAATCTATAAAATTGACCAAGTGTCATTCTAGATGAACTTCAAGAGAGACAGATGATTTACAAAGATTTTACTAAGATTTTTCTCATTTAGTTGCGCATAAAGAAATAAAAAACATTTTTGTGTTATGACGTTTGGCGTGGGATAAACTTTGGTCTAAAAGTACTAGTAGACATAGGTTTTCTGTGTTTTCAGTTAACTTTATAATAACCGGAATGATTTTCAATGCAAAATTGTTATGCTCAAAAATGGTAATTTACTCTGGATAGTGAACACAGTATGCCGAAAACACTTTTAAGTAAACGTGCGTTAAACGTGAAAGAATTTCCTGCCTTTTGGTCTGTACTGTTGGGCAGTTTATAAGAGAAAATCTTTTCCTCTCGACTTACAGCCTTTTATAGCCTTGGTCTTATGCAAATTACTTGTTATGAAAATCAGGCTGCATTCAGTATGAGAAACAGAAGTGAACCTTTATCGCCATTCCCATATTAGCAAAGTATTTGATTATAATTGGCAGGACTTTTCAAAGGGAACGAACTTCTACGATTAACTATACCTGACACATGCAACTTTAAAACCGAACATTGTGGCAAATGAAATCTCTTAAATCTAGAGCACTGTGGAAACTGCTTTGATCAGCTTGATTTGACTGGTGGAGAATGTAGCAGGTATTGCATTAAAATACAGTTGATAAGCCAAAGGAAAAAATAAAACAAACAAATTGATTTCTGCGTGTTTTTGACATGTTTGTAAAACAAACTTGCTAAACGCGGACGTTTTTCTCCAAAACTATTCTGCTTAATTTAGCTTTTAACCTTGGGAAAATAATAATCGCATTTTACTTGCGTTGGCATTTTAGGCTCGGTTTTGACACCACAAAAACCACACTGGTCGAGGACTGAAAACGAAATTAATATTCATCTTTATGACTCATTTCTGAGACCGGCTAAGTGATAAATTTTTTAATAATATAACTGACGAAACGACTAGATTTGTTCTCGAAAACGCGTCCTTGAGTTTGTGCCAGAACTGCGTCGAAAGCAGCCGGAAAGAGATGATACGAGTTTTAAAGCTGTTGATGATTTGCGTCTTGTTTTTGGCATTAATCCGCGTGAGCCGAGAAAATAATAATTCCACAAAGGGTTCTATTCTTTTTGGATTAACCTGTAAATGAATTTTATATTTGCATTCCCATGTCGCAGATTTTCGATTAAAATTTTGACAGCGGGTGGGTTTTTTCCAAGTCCCTTCATTTTTACGAGCAAACAAAGAACAGCAAACCTCAATATTTTGCACATAGTATAACTTATAACGAATATTTTGGATGAAAGGCAAAGATATATAAATCTTAAACTCGTTCCTCCAGAAGGACTCAATTAAAATTTATTCAAAGGCTTAATCTGATGTAGGGGGTTTGCTTTCCTTTTTCAAAACGGAAAATCATTTCTGTTTCATTATTTTCGAATGTTCACTAAACCTTTAAAAGTTTACTCGCGATCAAAACAGTGATAGCAAGTTCATTCAGGGCCTGAAGGCGTAAATCCACGTATAATTTTCTTTTTGCCCTCAATGAATAGAAAACAATACTGATTAGTGATAGATCACAAAAGAACTGATGCCCAGAAAGTTTACTGAGACACGAGTCGGTATTATTTGAAAACGTGCGAGGTATAATCTTCGTGATAGCTCGGTCGCTGAAGGGAAAGTTCGCAAGAAAACAGATGTTATAATTTATTATAAATAAAGATTTTAATAATAATTCTCTTTGTATTCCATAAAATCTGTATATAACTTATATGATGGCGTTCTACTGTATATTTGGCCTTCTCAAGCAACTTCATTTTCAACTCTAAACTACTTAGATCTACTTACTGGCTCAGAGCGCGTTGACTAATATTTGATTTAGTCCGAGTGAATTTATTTTCATCTATTCATAAGCAAAAGTCGCCACACGCTTAGTGCGTCAGTTTTTATCCTCGCAGGATTGTTAAGTCCTGAAACATCTATCTGGAAAATTTTAACAACAAAAATATAAATTTTTTGAAGATCAGTGATGCCGCACTGTTTATTTGGCGCATTGTAATTTTCTCAATGCCAACATGTGCTGAATAAGTTATGACTTCATGAAATCAGCTGCGGCCGGAGCTGTTTCAAAACACAGGAAAGTTTAGTTTTGATGAAAAACGACGCGCATTGCTAATACGCATTTGACTTGGCCTTATGCATCTGAGAAAATGCTCTGTACATACATATTAAACTCCAGCCATTTATCATTATTATTTTTCCAGTTTTGTCTGTTTTAGACACGGCAATTATCTATACAGATTAAAAAGAAGTCAAATCCAGCAAGAAGAGTCTCAGCATTTTTTTTCCTAATTTATCATCCGTCTCTTCGGTCAACTACATTTCCATAATTTTTCAATTCAACCAGCAGTTCGCCAAAATATCTTGGCTCTCTGTTCATCTGAAGCATTTTCTCGCTCAAGTTATTTGTTATAAACATACATCGATCCCAAAAGGCTCGTCTATCTCCATCTATGAGAAATGGCTTTAAAGGGTAACTTATTTCCGGGCCGTTGTAGGTGTATGCCATGTAGAGGCATGTTAAAATTTCAGCTCGTAGCTGAGCAGGGTTTGGTATTTTGTCTGATAAACTTTCCTTCAGCAACATGAACAGAAACACGAGGTTTGGGGGCGTCAGGAACGCTTGATCCTGCCATCCCTGCAAAAGTAACGCCCTATCTACTCCTCGTAGCCATAGAACCACCTCAGATGCGCGAAATCGCGTTAAATTTTTGCAGTGACAGCGGACGAAATTTCCAACACATTTCAGAGCATCGCTGCTTACCATGAAAGAGGCGATTGGTACTTTGGGTTTTACAGGGGCCACAGCGACTGCAACTTCCCTGGCACTAACAACTTGCTTGGAATCTGTCGAGATGGGCATGATTGGCAGTTTAGCGTTTTGCTGTTCCACGCTGACGGCCGCCGGTGCTGTTTGGGATTTTAGCGTATTTTCATTTTCCTTTGGCTTGGTCTTCCCGGTGGCTGGCTCGATTTTAGATTTCATTTTCTTCTTGCCGACATTCGCACACTTATGTATGTAAGCCGCGACAGCGTCGCAAGTCGTTTGAGGGGCCTTGTTTTCTTTTCCGACGCGCACATCACTGCTGCTGTTTACATGATAACAACACTTGCAATGGAAACTTTTTGCGCTCTCTCGAGCCTTGTTATTCCACATGGAATATTCGTGGAATAGATCCTTTCGACTAATTGAAAGAGAAGCTCCCATCTTTGTTCGAAAGGAAACGGGCGAGGGCTTTTGTAGCTACAGACCCGGCGATACGCGGTATCTTGGCCCTTGCTAACTTTTCGTGCGCTCAACACAGTATTTCTGAGAACAGGTGGTACCGCATTGGCGATTTCACTAAAATTGAATCGATTGTGTGACTGGTCTGTTTATTTTATGTTACGCGGGCTTACCATGTGACCAAGCAGTCTCCATGGCAACGACACTAATTTAGTCATGAGTCATCTTAGCCGGGATATATCATGAAACGCATCGTCCAATCACAGGCAAATTTCCAGTCTGCATATGTTTGGCCCGACAACTTTCCGCCCTAAAGGCTTGCCGTCAAAATGAAGCTAGAGTGGAAACAAATTAAGTCAGTGTCACTTAAAAAGTATGCAAGCGATCTGTCATAGATAGAAATAGATTGCACACCAAAAACGCAGGGAAACCACCGTTTGTAATGACAGCCGGTGGATTCCGAAGGAAGAAAATTTGTACAGAGTACACTCCTTGAAAATATTAAGCAAAATTGTATTTACAGAGGGTGTATACAAATTGGTTTGTATTTTAATAAGTCTGTCTAAAGCTTCACTCTTTCGCCGGTTCTTCTTTTTTCAACGTGAATCAAGTACAAGGTGTTAAAGGGAGAATTTCGCATTTATCTCCTCGACTTGAAACAAATGAATTTATCCTACCCTTGAGTAGAAAAATATTAGGAAGTGTGCTTCTGTGCTCATTTTTAGAATTAAATTATTCCATGAGGGAAAGTTTCGAGTTTCAGATCCGAGATGGACAGAAGGCGTGCCGATTTTTATTTTCGCCAAAACTGAAATCGAAGTAGGGTGAAAACTGCTCAAAAATACATGTATATTCTCGAAGGCGTTGATAGATTGCATTAGTCATGTCACGACCTAATTGATTACTCTTGTCGAAAATGGCAGAAGATCGATTATTTTTGTTTCTGTCTGGCTAGGTGACGTTGTGCCTTCGGAGCAGGTGGAATGAAGGTGGTTGATTGTGAAATTCTCAGTAGATTGAGATCCACGCGCGCGCAAAAAAATGCTTATAGATATTGCCCTTTTTTAAGCTTTGTTTTCCGGCTTTTGAGCCGTACACCCAGAAGAAAAAAATCACTACTCCATACCTTTTAAATTAATGAGATTATATCGACATTACACTTCCTATCGATTCGGAAATTTCAAGAAAAATCGTACGTCTGATTTTCCTGAAATTTCCGAGATTACGCGTGACGGTAAGGACACGGCTTTGTTTGTTGTGCTAGAACATAGAAAGGCTTGCTTGTTTGTAAAAACGATTGATCGGCTCACTCCATCTTAACGTTTCTCTTAATTTTTCTGAATATCCGCAATTTATGTTTCACTTCGTCTGGACGTTTTATTTCAGTAAGAAAACAAAGCATGCTCGTTGCAAATTATTATTCAAAAAAAAAATTCGTGAAGGAATATTATCAAATTTCCTAAAATCGATGTGTGGCCATGAAGAAATCTCATACCGTCAAGGATTGATCACTGACGTCATTGCGAGTTCAGTTGAGCATGAACGAAGCTAGAGCCTGTCAATTTTAATATACGATAATGCAAACATAAAAAACAGGTTTTCCCTTCTTTATTCTTGCTTCCTAATGAAATATGGGAACAAATTGTATTCTTCATCTTCTTCTTCTTTTTATTTTTGTCATACATTTGTCTGAAGTTAACGGAACAGAAAACTGAAATGAAGAATAAAGACGCCATACTGTCAAGGTCTTGTGTGCAAAAAAAAAAGTGTTTTTGCAAGTCCTTTTAACAAAGGTTAGACTTCAGTATGCTAGTGCCAAGAGATTCTTGCTAATGCGTAATGGTACACAAGTGCCTCTTCTGTTTCTCACATGCAAAGCCGTCCTAAAAAAAGGTGTCTCTCGTTCCGAACCTTATGGCGAGAAAGACGGAATCAGAAATGGATTCGACAGGATATTCGCGGATGGTCGCCCAACTAGTTTCTAACAACTACCGACAGGGCAGGGGTGTAGCTACCTGTACGCACGGTACGCACGTGCGTCTGACAAAGTCGTGCACAAAAGTAAATAAAAATAATAAATAAATAATGATTAAATAATAAAAATTAAAAGTTGATTCTACAAAGAAAGCAAAATATTTAAAGATAATTATTTTAAGAGCACAGTTTGCCTCAATTCATTCAACTCTGGTTGCTTCTTTGAAATGCAATTTTTTTCTAAAACAACGGACTTTCTTTTTCCTCTCTACCCAAATGTCAGTTTCCAGATAAACGAAGTAACTGATTAATAATGGACCGAATCTTGAATAACATATATATCTAGTGTAAAGATGGAAGGCGTTTTAAATAAAAACGTATTCCTATTTCTAACCACTTACGCACATTAGTTCCTAGAGGCGACGACGAAGGCGACGGTCACGGCGAAGGGCAGCGCGCTTTTCTTTAATTACGACCTGTACGAACACGACGTTAAATTTCCTTTAGCGACGTTATTTGGAGGACGTAAACACAGGAGCAAATTCAATTTCTTCTCCGAGTCCGAACTTGGGTGCGTTCCCCAATACTCCTTACGGAAGTTTACCGTATATTTGCCATTTTAAGAGACTTGAAATAAACGCGAAAAAGTTTTTGTACAAAAAAAAACGCATTCGTTTTGATAACTTGGGACGTTTTCATTGCCCTTGTCGTCGTCGTTGCTAAAGCACCGTATATTCATGAAAGTGACATTTCTATTTTAGTTTTACTGCGTACCACGCAGGCTTAACTTTTGTGAAACACCGCGAGTTTCGCGAGGGGTTGCAATGCGCGAGATACGTATTTCTATTATTAAAACGAACAAAAAAATATATACATATATAGCTTCACTTATCTCAATGCATAAAAATATAAACATATGCAGAGCGAAATACAAATGACAAATGAAAAGGATAGAAGTTAATGGGACCTTTTCAATTGTATTTCTATTATTATAAATAAGCGTGTGGTTTTAGATAGGAAATAAATTTCGTGACAGAAAAAGAGAGAATAATCTATCCTCCCTTTGACAGAGAGAACATCCTTGTGGGCCGAGAGATGCTTTTAGAGGGCGTCTTTGCTGCTATGCGCGCCAAGCAACTTCACTGGACGCAAGTCACTCTTGTTGAAAAGAACTTTGTCTGACGAACTTGTAAATCTTTTCTTAAACATTCGCAAAAACGATTTTTAGTAATAAAGATTCATCTGAGTTTGGAACGAAAATTAAGGGTTTTGGCCTCTGCGCCCATCCAATTAGTAGCCCGAGAACAAATCTGCGTTCGTAGGGTACTATCCAAATAGCTGCTCCTGCAGAAACTGCAGAAACATGATTTTCGACTTCAAAAAGGAAAGGTTTAGAAGAACAACCAGTAGAGCTAGGACTTTCCTTATTATTGATTATTATCATCACTGTAAGCGTATTAAGATCCAGAATCTCATTCATTCGTCTCAAAATGGTCATGTTTCGCTCCAGGGCCATATAGTTCACCTATTTATAACACGAGTTTCTTCTATTCTAGTATTTCATATAAGGGCTATCTCGTCGAAAGAAAATTTAAGAAAGAGAAAACTAAAGGTTGGAATATCAAGAACAAGACGAATCCTGATCAAACCATTGAGGTCGGAATCGTATGCTCATTATGCTTGCTAAATCAATCCAGTCCACTGACGAATGTCCTGACGCATTTTCGTGTGGCCGAAGGAACTTGGTGACTAGAACAAATTTCAAGATGGCGGCAATGTGGATCTCGAAGGACGCTACAAAGTCTTCTCTTGATCAGTAGAAATAGTTTTCAAAATATACGCAAAGATAGCAAGATGTACCACCCTTCAAGAGGAGGAGTGCGTGGAGGACAAGATCAGTTTGACTGGGAAGACGTGAAGGCTGATAAGTACAGAGAAAACTATTTAGGTGAATCTCGATCAAGGGTGTGTTCCTTTCGGTGAATCCAAAAACGGATTTTAGATCTAAGAACGGATTTCGCGTTCCTTTCGGCAAATCCAAATCCGGATTTTTGATCTGGTGAATCCTTTTTGAAAAAGGATTCATTGGATTTGAAATCCGAAGAATCCAAATCCAGATTAACGGATTAGTGATCTTCGCTGTTCCATTCACAGTGGATCCGAAATTAGTCAGATGATCCAGCGGTATTTCCAGTTGAAGTATTCCCATAGAGGCCGTAGAGTTTCCTCGATGCTGTCATTTGCCGCAAAACATCTGAAAACATTAGAAGATTGTTCCTGGTACTTTAAAATATCCATATACTAACCATTTGTCTCTAAAGATTGCTTGAAATCAGAAATAAGTAAAAGTAACAAATGAACCGCTATCTAACTACAAACTCGCTTGTAGACGCGACAGGCACTCGATCGTGTTACATAAAAAATCCGAGCTATGGAACTGGATCAAACTGGCCGACATTCTTTAGATAATTTTCAATTTTAATGCGCTGCTTTCTTTGTCTGTTTTGTATGTTCCATCGTCGCTATTCGACCTGCCGACCACTAAATTCTGCACGGTATAATCGCATAATTTGTCAAACAGTAGAAAACACGTCATTATTTGAGAGGCTGTCGTGCATATTGCACGCGTTGGCGAAAGGTTACCAAGGTTACAAATCCAATTTTGGATTTCACGTTCCTTTCGACTGCGAAATCTGGCAAATCTAAGATCAAAAATCCGTTTTTGGATTCGCCGAAAGGAACACACCCCAAGTGTGTTCTAATTACCTCATAACCGAATCTGGGCTTTAAAACTTCAGAATAACCGGCCACTTAATAAACATCTTTAAAAGCTGCTCACACTGTCCTGCAGTCGTAAAAATCTACATAGCAAATGCAAAGATGAAGTCAAACTGTGTATATATCATCCTTTCTTCTTTTACATCAAATTAAGTTAAGCTAGTATTGAAAAATATTTGTTGACGGGAGGAATGCAGGAGCATTTGTTTCCCTTTAATACCCGATTTTAATAGATCCATCAACTACAGGATTATACTACCGCGGGAGGCGCTGTTTTACTTACTTGATTGTGGTAGATTTATTGACTACAGGACAAAATTATGGGACTGCAGTACTGTGAACTGAAAACACACACTATTTACTTGGTGACTGCGGGACCGTGGGAGTAATCGACACTGAGTTGACAGATATCACTCACACATACAGGACTGTACTCTCATAGCGCCCGGTGGCCCCAGGGCCTCTAGAAAATCTTAGATTTTTCATACAAATCATATGCTGGGCACCTTAGATTTTACAGTTTCAGAGCACTGGGCTTCTTTCAATTTTCCTTAGAGCACAGCCTTGCATGTAGAAAGCCGGGGATATTCTGAAGTTTTTCCAGTAATTGCTGGTATCTTTTTATTATGCCCGCAGTGATGTTTTTTAAGCCATTTAGTGAGTGACGATTTGTTATGCTGGACAGGAGCTGCTTATTGTACTCCACAAATAAGTTTTTGTTGTTGATTTAAAGTGAAATTAAGGTGGCTGGATGTTAGCCAAGGCTCTCTGTTTGTGTTTTTATTGACTGACCAGGTTCCTACTAAATGATACTTATGCATTTCTATATTCCAAGAATTCTCTTATTCTCTACTTGAACTAGCTTGCTAGCAGGCTCTCTTGTTTGGAGTCATGCGGGAGTATCTTGGTGGCCTCCGCGGCTCCACTGCCAAGATACTCGAGCATGACCCCAAATAAGCGAGCCTGCCAGCAGGCTATATTTTAACACAAGATGTAACTGCCTGAAAACCACACCCTGTAATTACCCATATATATGGTGCGATATGTAGTAGAAACCAGGTAACTCGAACTCTAAAGGGAAACGAATAACAGTTTGAGTTAGTGGGAAATTTGATTTATCGGGGTAAATTTCAGTGAAATCTTGACCAAGGGAAAGCAAATGTATTTTGAGTTAGCGGGGAATTTGAGTTATCCAAGTTCAAGTTATCAAGGTTCTCCTATACTTTGCGTGCACTGAGTTTAAGTGGTAATGTCCTGTTTTAGATAAGGCTCTGTTTTTAGGGTAAAATTTCAACAAGCAACATGGCCTTGAAACAGTGACATAAGACAGATAAAAAGTAATGAAGACAAGTGACTTGAAGACGGTTTTGAAACTGCAACAGCGATGAGCACAATTGAAAATACAATAGCAAAATACTGTCAAGGACATGTCCTCCTCAGTAAGCAAAACGACCAGTTTTGAAATTAAGACTTCAGGCATAAATCCCTCACTAAGAGGACCTGTTACATTGTAGATGCCACCATTACCAAATGGTGCAGTGCAAGATATTGAAAATATGCAGAATAATAAATTCTTTTATAGCTGTTTTTTCGACCAAGTGGCAGAATAGGAGTTTATTTGCCGGCAGAGGGAAAAGCTTTTGATCTTGTTTGCCAGCATGACTACGGTTATGTCTACTGAAAACCTGCCATACCCTTACCTTTCCTTGACAACTTTATCCTCATGATAAATGCATTTTCTGATATCATTTTGCAAGCTTCTGTTTTATATCGGCTCAAAAAATGCCCTATGGCCCTTTTCCATCGCCACATTTGTCACAACATGCAAACATAACATACAACTGCAAGAAATGACCATTTTGCTTATTTAGGGGGGTTGTTTATTGGAATGTTTGGGTGGGTCAGTGCTTGTCTCTAAGTTCTATATCAATTAACGTTTTTTGTGTGCATTCACCAGGTCACTCAGTCAAAGCCCCAGTGGGAAGATGGCAAAAGGGAAAGGATCTTCACTGGTAAATCCTTTTTTTTCTAAGCATTGAATTTTGCTTCGTTCCTTGTCTTAAGACTATTCACGACAACTTATTTTTCATTATCCGCCATTAACAGTCTAGTGTTGAAATCAGATAAATTTTAATCAGTTATACACTTATTTACAGGTATACAAAGGGTGGTAAAGCAGACTCCGCAACTTCCAAGCAACAGGTGAGGTAAATTCTGTATTACAACCAACATTAATTCATAGATTTAGCCAGAGCTTAAAGCGAAGCTCCCTGTTATGCATTTTAAATTTACCTCAGACAATGGACTTGAAACCACTGCAAAGAAATCCATAAATCTATACTTAACATTATAGGAGTGAAAAACATAAACTTCAGCCTGCGATCAACTAAAAGCTAATAACTGGTCAACCGAAAATTAAAAAAACACACGTGACCGTGATGGGTGGGGACCTGAGCCGGCCTGTGATGTGGTCATGAGACTCTGGTAAGCAGATACCTTGTTTTGATGTCCATTGTCAAGTTAAACACAGGTTACAGGCTCCCACACTAGTAAGAAGTTTGACATTTCACATTGGTTGCCCTATGGTGCGGATGGATAGATTACCAAATTTTCTTAGGTATGGGGCTTGGCTCATGCATTTTTTGTGCACTCATAGAGTTCCTCTTTCACTGTTGATTAATTTAAGGATAAAGCCTCTGTCTTTTATGGTCTACAAATTTTTGGTACAAAATAAGAAAATCCGAGAATCTTGATTTTTTCAGTCATGCTGCCTCATCATAGACCCTCCTCCCCTACCCCCACCCCCAGCTCCAAAATATTTCCCAGGCATTATTGATCACCTGGGCTTTGTATTTCTTAGCAAGAGGTTTTGAATAAATTTATGTTAGAATGTTAATTTATAGTCTTTTAAATGTCAGGAAAAAGATGCTATAAAGAAAATGGAGGCGGAAGCTTTGGCTATAGCTCTGTGAGTAAACAAAAGACCATCAGAACATTTTTGTGTAAAAATATTTTGAAGTTGCTTTGGGAGTGTGATTGTGTGGGATATGGTCACGATTACATACATACATACATACTTTATTGCAACTCCCTAAAAGGGTTCTTCAGTTACAAGGCTACTAATCAACTAAAATAGCTAAATAAATTACCAAATAACTAAGATAATAAATATAAGTTAAAAAATAAGTGGAAATAAATAGTTTGCTCTCGTATGATGATATTCGACAAATATAATATAATATTAACGATTTCACATTTCACAAACTATTACTAGTCAAGGAAAAAAAATGGAGGTTGTGCTTGAGACTATCCTGCAGAACAGGCGTTATTTTTTGTGTTTTTCAGGCAAGCGAAGGTAAGTACAAAGCATGCGCAATGGGGAATTGAGTCGGTTTGGTGTTGAATTATATATTATGGGACTGTTTTGGCTGATGAATTCTGACCCAGCTTCCTGTGCAACTGTGTGGTAGCCAATAAAAGAGGTGATAGCATCCACAAAACAATCCCATCAGTGTTCCAGATAAGACATGGGTCTTTGGTCAATGACCTGTCAAAGAGGGCTTCCTGACCTGACAGATGACATATAAGTGTTAGGTTAAATATAGCAAAAAAATTAGCGCATGGTCTTGGTGACCCCTCAGATGGTCTACATGACCAACCCCCCCCCACTTGAAAGAATTAACTGGAACACTGCCCATAATGCAGTTTGACACAACACTGACCCCGTCTCTTGCTCAACCTCAAAATGGAAGTCAAACCTCTACAACAGTCAACTCTCACCTTGCGAACACCCCACCATAATGGACACTGGGATGATACGGTAGCCAAATCCCAGATGAAAATAAATTGCAGACGTTTGACTGATAAAAACTCCTGGTATTACCAATTCTTGCTAATGAGGACTCTAACTTGAGCTCCCTAGAGTGTCTATACCATTAAGGGAATCGGCTGTATTAGCTACCTCCTTGCAATGGCCAACTCTTCACAGCAGCAACTATTAAGCTACATTATATTCATATACAAATTCTCTAGATTCATCTCCATACTTTTCCTTAAACAATAGTTGAGAGAGTTGGATAAATGATCAAAGTATTTCTCCTTAGGTGATCATTTCATTACCTCTCGTAACTTTTTCTTTAGATTATGTCTTGATATTTAGGGTGTGTTTCTTTACTAAAGTCGTCCACTTGAGATCAGATCAAAAATCTGGATCATAAGGATTTTCCATTGAGAAAAGAAACAATGTATCCAAAAAGGGATTATTTTTCATTCATTTCCATAGAAACAACCCACAATATCGACCGTAGCCCAGAGATAAGAATAACAAGGTTGCCGACAGTGTTGCAAGTTTGCTGATCTTTCATTGTATTCTGGATGATTGTAGGCGAGCCAAATGACGACAAGCCTTGAAATAAGATATGATCGACTTGCCAGCAAAGTTGTATAGCAGTCTTGTCCTTGTGAATTTGAACAATGCAGGTCCTGTTTGTAGTGTGAAATTTACCTCCCCAATAAAACAGATAAAATTGATCGTTTAATCCATGCCTCATGCTCAAAAATGGGCTTAAAGATGAGCAGTGTTGTCAAATAGCTGATGTACCTTTTAAAAGTGTTTCAAGTTACCGCTGGCAATATTCACTCTTTTGGTTCCATAGTATAAAAGAAACGTTTCAGATCATGTATCCAAAGTATCCTGTTTTGGATATGATCCAAAGAATCCACCTCCATTGTGGATCACTTGGATCAATAATCCGTTTTTCGACTATAGTAAAGAAATGCAGCATTAGTAAGAGAAAAGTGATGTTGATCACTCTTGGGACTTAAAGGTGATGTTACAGATCGGGACGATTCACTACAATGATTTTTAGTGCAACACACAGTTGCAATGTTGGACCAATGTTGTGACCATTTGAAACAATGTCACAACAATGTTGCAATGCTGTGGTGTGCTAAAAATCGTTGTTGCCGATCATCTCGCGTAGCATCACCTTGAAGGGTTAACCTCTCTTTACGGCCACCTCTTCACAACAATAGTGGCCGCTAAAGTGCATCCCAGTTTCCAAGAGAATTTTATCCTCTCCCATACCTCACCATAGGGCACTTCTCTATAATGGACACTTTCCTCCTTTCCCAAGGTGCAACCGTTGAGAGTTTGAATTGCATCTAGTTAGAAGGTTACAAGCTATAGTTTATACAGGAAAATCGTTATGGAAGGCATGGCGGTCGTGCACAAGTCTTGATGCACGATATTGATCAAAGCAAAGATCTAGAAATGTGCATATTAAGTCATGAAATAAGAAAATGCAAATGAAGGTTAGACAAGATAGTGTTAGTAAGTAAAGCGTCTGACCACCCTCACAAAAATTAATCTTTTGGTGTTGCAGAGGGAAGGGAAATGTCAAGAAAAAAGCAAGTGGAGTTTCTAAACAGGTGAGGAACTTCCCTTTTTAATGTAATTACAATAAAATTTTAACTACTACTACTAATAATTAATAACTAAGAATAATTATTTATTGCTTAGTAGGTACAAATTGACATATGGATATGATCAATACATGTATTTCTAAACTTTTTTACGTTTCAATCTAGGAATGGATTTTTACTAGTATCCTGTGATAAATACACTTATTTTGCCATCATCATTTTGTAAAGATCAATGTTGCAAATTGCCACTGTATGTGAGAAACTTCCCTTTTTAATTAAATTACAATCAAGTTTTAACTAATAATAAAAATAATTAATAAGAATAATTATTTATGGTTTAGTAGGTGCAAATTAACATATGGATATGATCAATACATGTATCTGTAAACTTTTTAAAGTTTCAATCTAGGAATGGATTTTTACTGTCCTGCAATAAATACAATAACTGTTATTTTACCATAATCATTTTATAAAGATCGATGTTGCAAATTGCCACTGTATGCTTTATTTTTCAATTAATCATTCAAGTCAGGAATCCCCCTGAAAAGCTCAGCAGAGCTTGCTGAGATATCTCCTGTTCATGTATCCCAGCAAATACCAATGTACAAAAAAAGGTCGGGAATAATTCCAAATGCTTTTCTTTTTGTTAGGAGCTGGCTGAAGTTTGTCGTAAAGGCCAGTTAGAGCGTGACTCCATGGACATTGAGAGAGTGGAAGGCATGGGTTTTGGAAGGTATTTGAAAATAATGACTTGTAGGAGCCAAACTCTGTTATCAGGGCAAAAAATAAACACCCCATTCAGTTGTTTGGGACAAGCAGATTACCTTGCTTGGCAACTAACTTTGTAAGCTCACTTGCCTGATGGGTTAGGGTCCAGCAAGTTGTCCTACAATTAAATCAGTAACCAAGACAAACTTGTTGAAAGGCCAGTTGAGATGGAATTGAGTTTTTAAGCCATTTGTTGTATTGGCCTAAGCTACATAATGTGGTTAAAGTTTCGCACTAAATCTTAATTTTTTTATTTAAAGTAACCAACCAAATTTTGACCGTGACAATGTCCTCCCCCGCTAAAAAATGACAGGGTCATAGAGTTTTTATGTCATTACAATCGTAAGTCTTCTCTATAGTGGTGCAGTAATTACAGTATTGTTTGATAGTGTGTCACTGTTGGTCTGCTATCAAAACAGTTATTTTTATGTGGCTAAAAATGAAATTTAGGCTTAGTTAAACTCAGGATGTGGCTATCCAGAGGAGATTTGCAGGGTTGCCCTAATCATGTCGCAGGGGCTCATGGGTTATTTTTACATCCTTTCACTTGAGGTCAGGCCATTATTTCTGTGTGTTGTTCCCTGTTGTGGCTTGTACTTGCAAAGTGTTTTTCCACTCCCTACCCTTCCCTAGTATACAGTGTTAAAATATGTTAGGTTCACTTTTTAGCAGTGTGACAGTGCCTGGGTGGAAGCCATTCTCGGGGTTGTCAGGGTAACCCATTACGCATCAAGCAGTATGGGGCTCCACCAACTTCACAGTTACCTCTCCCCAAGCTCTCTGTTGATGAGTTTTATGAGTGCTGCTTTCTACAACAATAATTATTAATTATTCTTCAAGTGTGGTTAGGTTTTGGTTAGTTTTGGCCATTAGAAGAAAAAGAAAAGAAACAAAAAAAAAGGGAAACACCACTCTCATTTTGAGCATATGGTATGAAGGTTGTCTCTCTCTCAGCCTATGGATTTTTGTCAACAGCTCAAGAGCTAGGCTCATGGATGTTGCATCTGCACCAGTTAAAGAAACACTTGGAGCTGCTGGTACACAGGAGGTAAATAGTTTATTTAATTATAATAACTATATGATCAATAGGATCAACAAATCTTACTTATCTCTGAAATGGTTTTGATTGAAAAATGCAATGGGTACAGTAATAATGTAAATAAAATTGATTGGACATAAATTTCTTATGAATAAAATAATAATATTTCATGGTTAGAGGTTTGAACACAGGAATCATTTCATAAGTAGGTGGAATATGATCGTCTGGGCCTTAATGGTCATTTTGAGTCAAAGTGAGTTGTATCACTTCAGTTGTTGGTATTAATTAAACTATGGTTATTGACCACAATGCTATTGGTCATCTTTCAGTTAAGCCATAATGTTATTTGCTTTTTATATGTCTTGTTTTTGAAGATGTGATTGGTGTGATTCGATCCATTTTTTCGCCATAGTTTAATGGTCGTTTGTTGTCTATCAAATCCAGTCATATAATTATCATTATTTTTTTCACTACAGGTAGATATTCCAGTCTGGGGAAGTAAAGCTAATGAAAAGGAGGAAATTCAAAGAGACAAAGATAAAACCAAGAGAAAGAAAGGTAAAAAGGAGAAGAAATCCAAAAAGGACAAGAAGCACAAGAAAAAGCAGTACAGTGATGATGAAGTCAAAGAATCCAAAAGAAGGAAAAGAAAACATGATCATGATGAACTTGACAAATATGATAATAAAAATGCTAAATATGAAAGGAAAAGATCACACAATCATGGTGAACACAAAAAGAACTTTAAACGCAGGAGGCATGACTCTTTGGAAAGTGAATCATCGGATGAAAAAGGGAAGTCTTCTAGAAAGCGTTTTGATCCATCTACTGAAGGCAATTCTGGGAAAGCTGTCAGTAAGCATAGAATAGATGAAAGGCCAAAAGAAAGAAGACAGAGGCATGATACAGAATGAATAACTGTGATGATTATTTTGAATATTTTATTTTGTTTAAAGTACAGTTTAATGTGCCATTTGCACAATGACATGTTTTTACTACTATAAGACCAGAATTTCTTTCTTTTTTCTTTCATATTTTAATTTGGTAATCCCATTTAAAAATGACAAAAGCCCAAATTTGCACAAGAAAACAATACCCTGAAGGATTAGTAAAATGACGCCATTGTGCAAAAGGCCCATTGGTGTCAACTCTTAGTTGTGCATGCAGGTTTAAAACACTTCAGACCAGACATATTTATCCTTAATATCTGTTATTAATTTTATAAACTTGTCTGATTCACCTGAATTTTAATAAATAGTCTGGAAACAGTCTCTTATTTTCTTCATTTAATATGGTGATGCCATGTGCAAGCTGCGAGAAACAAGGGTGCAAGCCCGAAGAGGAATAGCCTGTTCACAGACCCTCTATTTTCTCTTCAAAGTCCATCAAGCGCAGCTGATAAACTATAAACTGCCGGAGATTTATTGACCGCCAGCACAAGGGGGTAGAGGTGGGGGAAGAAGAAAATCTTTATTTTTCTTTCTTGGGCTCTGCGCTCGTTCTCGCGCGCTCACTTCACTCGCCAATGTTTTTGAAAAGAACGAAAAGAAAAATAAAACAATGTCTGTTTACAGGCTAGAACAGGCAGAAATCTCTCTTTTCTCATTTCTTGTCTAGCTATGCACTCACCGTTTAAGAACTCAACAGATCTAAGAAATAGGTGGACTGCAAGCAATCTACTAATATGAACGTATGTTTTAACCAAGAAGGGGTTGCCTTAAGGCATTGTGTATAAAGAATGAATCCATCAGGAAATTGAGTAATTTTAATTTTCAGTGGACAAAAACCTTGTACCAGAATAATTTAAACAATATTGCATTCTTTTTCAACTTTTTCAAAGGCTTTAGATGTAATTAGTTGTCTGTAATAACACCAAAGAAAATTCCTTATGAGAGCCTGAGAAAATAAACGTGAAATTTAATTAAAAAAAGACATCTTACACATGAAATTTTCAGAATTTTACCTGTGTTTTCACAATTCTTGTGAAAATTAACATTTACTTTCTCACGCCCCCATAAGAAGTAGTCTTTGGTATTATTACAGATAACTAATTATATCTGTAGCCCTTGAAAATGTAAGAAAAATGTGATATTGTTTAAATTATTCTGGTACAAGGTTTTTGTCTACTGAAAGTTTACTCAATTTCCTGATGGATTCCATTTTCATGATTTTACGAGTAAAATTTTCTCTAGTGTAAGGCTGAATCCTGTGTTTTGATTAGCTACCTGGGCTGCCCGCTTGGGATTTCCTGCTTTGGTCCCGCAAGAAGAATTTCTCTTTTTGGCCATATAATAAATCCTATATTGACCAAGCTTGTTTGGTCAAGGTAGCTGGTTGTATTTTTATTGACCTTGACTTTGTCTTAGTCCATAAAAAAGCAAACAAGAACTTGGCCAATAGCCAGCCATCTTTACCTTGTGCTTTGGTCAAATTTTAAGGCAAATATCATATTGACCATGACTAATGAAATTTACCTCTTACTGGTACCATGTTAACTCAATACTTCTAGCTTAAAACTCTTTGAGTATCTTATGGATTAATTAAAAAAGCCTAAATCATCACAAATTTTGTTATGGTAACAATAATTAATTGATAACAGAGCTTTGTGTCATTCAGTTCAGTCTGTAATCACATTCATGATTAAACAAATCAAACTCCCACTATTTGATCGTCCAACTTTATTAATCGCTCCTATGATTACAGACTGAATGCTAACTCATCTCTAGACTTTCCTAAGTCTCTTATTAAGACTGTGGGGTCAAGGGGAGCATGAGCAGCGATGGGAAGGGGAAAGAGGGGAGATGACTGGCAGATTCTATATCCTCTGCATTCATTTTCCTCCTTCCCATCATGCTTCATGCTCCCTTTGGTCATGCTTCTGGCATTCCATCTTTCATGTGTGATTCCCACATCTAATTAGAGACTACTGGGGATGATTCAGGACTCCACTTAGCCTAACATCTGTGTTAGCCTAATTAATAATATTATTATAATTTTGTATGCTGTCCACTCACTGTTCTTATCTCCACATTACTGGAAAAGTGCCGCTTGTTTGGAAAGCATCTCCAGGTTTTATTTCTCCATTGTAGCCTGGTGAGGTCTCCCAAGGCCTGGTGGCAAATGTTGCATCTTCTTCTCCCAGCCAGTGAGCAGGGATGAGTTAGGACTTTAATTAGTCCTATTACCTGAATAAATAATTACTATAATTTATTTTGTGATTCTGTCCATTCACTATTCTGATCTCCACATAATTGGAAAAGTGTGGAAAGCATCTCCATCTTTTAACCCTCCAGTATAGCTCAGCGAGGTTTCCCAGGGCCTAGTGGCAAATGTTGCATCTTCTCCCAGCCAGTAGTGGGGATGAGTCAGGGCTCAACTTAGCCCTATTACCCTAATTAATAATTTTAACTTTGAGTTTCTGTCCATTCACTGTTCTGATCTCCACATAACTGGAAAAGTGTCACTGGTGTGGAAAGCATCTCCAGGTTTTAATCCTCCAGTGTAGCTCGGAGAGGTTTCCCATGGCCTAGTGGCAAATGTTGCATCTTCTCCCAGCCAGCGAGTGGCAACCACTTGTCGTCCAGCTATGTCGGTGGTTTGTTTGGCTCCATGAAGAGTAAGCATGTGAAAAGCTATGCAATCACCAGGCTAAGAAAATAATAAAAATTAAGAAAATAAATTTTTGAACATTTGATGACATTTGTACATTACAATGTATTATTATAATAATTCATTATCATTTATTTTTTTTAAACTAAACCAAAGCAAAAATGTTTGTGAGACAGTGAGCCTTAAATTTTTGGGCTTAAATGGCCTGCTCATGATCTTGTTCTAGCGATTTCCCTTCCCCTGTTATCAAAGTTGCCAGCAATTCGCGATGATGTTCAAACCTCAGGGGAACAACTTTGAATACAGGGAGGGGAGTGGGTGGGTGTTATATCTCACAGATATGTGACTAGCAGTGATTTTAAGACACTCGAGGGAAACATGAGCGGTGATGGCAAGGAGGAAGAGGCGAGATAACTGGAAGATTCTGTATCCTCTCCATTCATTTCCCCCTTCCCATCATTCCTCATGCTCCCTTCAGTCACGCTTCTTACGTTCCATTCCCGATGTGAGAGTTTCTCAACATTTTTGAGACTGGTTGTAGCCCACAACAAAAAAAAGTTCTTTTTGGCTTAGAGGGTAAAAACATTTACTGTCTCTTGAATACTGTTTCCTTTAAAGCCAGGGGTAAACATAACTTGATCAACCTGTCATAGCCTTGGCAATGATACTGACTGATGATGCAGGGGTGGAGGCAGGAAGGCAGGAACTCATAAATTTCATGTAAGCTTAAATTCGATTGCAGGCCAAGTGGTGTTGGTGGTAGTAACAGTGGGAGTGGTGGCAGTACTCCCCATACACTCTGTAGGGGTGGTAGTGGAAGTGATAGTGGGTGGATGTGGTAGTGGTAGTGGCAGTGGTAGTGGTAGAAATAGTGGCATTGGTAGTGGTAGTGGTACATTGTAGTGGTTGAAATAGTAGTAGTGGTTGTGGTAGTGGTGGAAATAGTAGTAGTGCTAGTGGAAGTGGTAGTGGTGGTAGTAGTGGTAGTGGTATTAGTGGTGGTAGTGGTGGTGGGTGGTAGTGGTAGTGGTGATAGTGGTAGTAGTAGTCATAGTGGGTGGTAGTGGTAATAGTGGGAAGGTGGTAGTGGTACATTGTAGTGGTTGAAATAGTAGTAGTGGTTGTGGTAGTGGTGGAAATAGTAGTAGTGCTAGTGGTAGTGGTATTTGGTAGTAGTGGTTGTAGTAGTGGTAGTGGTTGTAGTAGTGGTAGTGGTAGTAGTAGTGGTAGTGGTATTGGGTGGTAGTAGTAGTGGGTGATAGTGGTAGTAGTAGTCATAGTGGGTGGTAGTGGTAGAAGTAGTGGTATTGGTAGGGGTAGTGGAAGTGTTAATGGTATATTGTAGTGGTGGAAATAGTAGTAGTGGTAGTGGCTACTAGTAGTAATGGTAGTGATATTGGGTGGTCATAGTGGTGTTAGTGGTAGTGGATGGTGATAGTGATAGTAGTAGTGGTAGTGGTAGTGGTAGTCATATTGGGTGGTAGTGGTAGTGGTAGTAGTGGAAGTGGTAGTGGTAGAAGTGGGTGGTGTTGCTAGTGTTAGATATAATACTGCACCTTCATGATTAATTTTTTAGGTGTAGAAAATGTGATAGTAAGAGTGGAAGTGGTAACAAAGAGGGCAAGCATCACATTTACGTCAGACAGCAAACGCGAATTTGTTCCAAGTGACCAAGTTTTCCCTTTGCTTTGCTACTGTTCATTACTTCTACACATAAATTAGTCATTTTATGCAATTTTTTATACATATGAATTTTCTTAGCTGTTTTACTGCTCATTTTCTATTTAAGAAATTCTCAACTAGAATCTGCCGTTTGCCGTTTGCCGTATACATGAAGCTTAATTTCTCTAATAGTTTTGGCAGTAAATTCAGTTAAAAATTCACCAATACCTGCACATCCCATGAGAACAGTTCATACTTGTCTGGTTCTCCATCTATGTCTGGGATATCATCAAAAGCTTCTTGTTTGCTTGTAGTGTTGGTGTTGTCATAGTTGTAATTTTTGGAGGAGGCAAATTTCCTGGGAATGAACCACTTTCCCCATTTGTGAGATCCACCAACATATTTCAAACAGGAGACTTTAGAAACAGGAGTCAGTGGTAGCCATAATGAACAGTTCTATCGATAAAATAACATATTTTACAGTGTGACTACTATAATGGGAGCCACCTAGCCAAATTGGACCAATCGGATGACAGGGAAATAACAATACATTCTGGGAAAGTTAGTTGTCAATCATAATTATCATAAAACAAAATCAATAACATGGATCAAAATCAACCAGTTACAACCTACAGATGAGACCTTTTGAACCCACTGAAGAAAGCCTATGTTTCCTGAGAGGACTGTTAGTGTTGACGGAGGTGAAATAAAATCTAATTGTTGCAGAAAAACGGAAAGGACTTTCTTCAAGCATTGCAGTCTCTAAGAATTTTCACTGACCAAGTGGGGGTGGGAAAAGTGTGAAATAGAAGAGAACTTTTACTTAAAACTTAATAATTACCTTCCATCCATTTACTGGGTAGTATGGTTGATCTTGGTGCCATGGTGTCCCACGAGCTGTACCAGGATCTTTAGTGAACACATGTTCATGATAGAACACTGCAAACTGAAGAGAGGATCAGGAAAAAACAATAAAACTTTCTGACAGAGCAGACAGATATATTTTCGTGGTTCAATTTTATTTTTGTTTGTTCAGTGGGTATGGTTATGCATAATAATGAGTTTGAAACAAAGGAAAACATAATTTAAATCAAGGATAAAATTGAACCACAACATATACAATCACCCTCAAACTGAGTTTGCAAATGAACATGAGTACAGGCGAATCTTTGTTTACACTTTTTGCCCCATTAACATACGCTTATCACTATCTGATGACGCTAATAACATGAAACTCTGAATATTGAAAGGGCATAACAGTTTCAGCTAACTCTGAAAACTTGAGCCCAATACATTGAATGGTATAGGAGAAATTCTCTCCTAAAAACTCAAAATTCTGAAGGGGAGGGGGGGTAAAAACTTGGAAGCCGTCCGTGGTTGGGTATGGATATTTTCTGGAATTGCCCATTATTGAGGAATAGTATCGTGAGACCTAATTGGTTGTCTTTGTTTTTGGAATTGTGTGTCATGTGTGTAAAATTGTACTGTATGTATGTGGTAGAAGTTTTCCATTCGCAGGCTTATGAAGCACTTATAATTATGCAAGATGGTTGGTAGGTATACAATGGGAAATCTGTGTAAATCTATCCCCTTCCCTCAGATAAAAACATGGAGGGGATAACCTGTAAACTGCAAAACGGGAGGGAGTCGGGGGTGGGGGTGTTGGGGGGGGGAGGGTGCTTCCATTATGTAATAATATCCCATCAATTTTTTTGCCTTGACATCATGTATACTGTTGGGCTTTAATAATATCCCCTGATTAATTTTTTTCTTTTAGTTCTTTTTTTTAGCCTTGACATCATGTATAATTTTTTTGCCTTGACATCATGTATACTGTTGGGCTTTATCACTCTGGTCTCCACTACTTCTGATGAAACGGATATGCAAATTAATCAGGCTTTGATTGAAAAAGAAAATACAACAGCCTGATTATAACGAAATGTTTCACAACTCTTAACTTTACGCAAGTGTTCTTTTAGTTCTCTTGGTGGTGGAATGAAACAAACCTCAGACTTCATCAGTTTGCCGGCAATTTCTGCAGCTGGTGACGAGCGCACAAATTCCTCAAACTCTGGGATCCGACGCCAATTGAAATAATCATTGAAGTAGAACGTCTGTGAATCCTCGCTTTTCAGCCATTCGCCATCTTTACTGGGGTTCGCATGATTCGCACCTACGCCTTTCTTCAGCTTGTCGACCCATTCTCTGAATGCTCCCCTGACACACACTACCCCTTGCTCTTGGAATGTCTTTATTTCCTGTACTGTGACAAGTTGTCGCGAATCCAAAGACTTGAACAGTCTAGATTTAGAAGAACTGAAAACACGAAATATACGCGACATTTGATTTCTATGGATGTCCCGGCGCGCCAGCGCTGTGGCTGTTCAGGACCCTTTCTCCGCCCTGCTCTGCACAGCCCCCGAAATGATCCCCAACCCCGGAATGATCCCCAAATCGACCCCGAAATGAACCCCATCTCTGTTCACGTCGACCCAGAAATGATTCCCAATTAATTTTAGGAATGGAATGATATCCTAGAACTATGGATCGTACAAAAAGCACAACATCATATTAACTTAAATCAATCGGATGAAATTCAGGCTAACATTCTTTATGACATTATTAATTTGGGATTACACTTTGAACTGGATTAAACGAAAATATCATTTAATACACAAAATCTAGTATATTTTTAGTAACACCATGAACTACAGCTGATACTGATCAAGAAACATAACATTTCTTAAGTGATTATAGCTCGGGTTATCACAGATAGCCCAAGCTCGAAATATGAGCATCGGCGAGCATCGGCATTGTTGCGTAACATTCAAAATATAAGGATTTGTTAAGGAAACTGAAACATATCGTTTCTGTAACCTACGAAAATGAAAGGATTTCAATAAAAAACAGCTTACCTTACTTAAAATGTGTGTTACGTCTCTCCTGTGTGGTCCACGGGCCAATTTATGGCCGTTTTATGGGTTTTTATGTAGACGGTTTTCTGTCTATAAACCGTTTACATAATTTTGTTCCTTTTTTCCACACCCCAAGAGCCGGACAGGGAAGGGTCGGGGTACTCAACGAATTATTTTTCTGGGAGGCTCCGTCCCGAGGTTTAACCCAGGGTACCAGAGGTTTTTCTCGCGAGCGGCGGGAATTTTCGGTGTTGGCTGAAGGCCGACACATCTTCGGCCGTAGGATTTTCGGGCGGGTCACTATAAAGACTTGACAGAAACCGGAAACCGCGCTAGGAAAGTCTCTGGCACCCAGGGTATCCCGAGGTTAGCCTTTACACTAGAGGTAGGCCCGGGGGGGGGTACTTTAGAAATTTCTGGGTGGGGATGTGCCGCTGGTACCCTGGAACCCTTAACCTATACCAGAGCTAGTTCAGCTGAATTTTGCCATCCTATACTAGAGTAAACTCCCCAAATCCCCCCTATCCTAGAGTAGCTGTTTTCCATAAACTACTGAGGTCACTAGCATAGTCTAGCCAAAACAAGCTGAGTTGTGTAAATTTCAAATTTCAAATTTGATTTTTTTATATGTTTGAGTGGCAATTCCCCGTTTCCCTACTCCAGATAAAATCTTCAACCAACTGATCAGTTTCCTGAAAAATGATACCCTATTCTAGACCCAAACACTCTGATTTATATACCCTATCCCAGAGTAAACTGCTTGAAAACCATACCCTTCACAGCGGCACATACCTATATAGCCCATATATGGCAGTGCCCCAGGGGGAGGTAGGTACTTGCTCTCGCAGACTAGCCTGTACAGAGACGTTGCTTTATTTTTCCTTTCGTTCTTTTCAAAAACCTCGGCGAGCTCGCTCGCGGTTTATATTTTTTCACCCGCGCTCGACGGACTTTGAAGAGAAAATAGAGGGTCTGTGAACAGGCTATTCAGAGGTCCAATTCCTTTACTCTTTATCCTTTCATATACCAACACCTCTTTCACACACCTACTTTAAAACAATGAATGCCTTTTAAACTGCTGTAAATGTACCGTCTTTTTGATATGAATAAACCACAAAACCAGGAAGTTTTCTTGTCTCCTTCACATCCATAAAATGCGTCTGGCCCTTTTAGTTAAACAACGAAATGGCAGAGTTACCTTCCCTAACTTACACGGCAACTAATAAAATCACCTACCCATTCATTACTCTTTCATACCAAGGGGGGGTGCTTTAGGACTTTTTGGGTGGGGATGTGGTGCTGGGACCCTGGAACCCTTAGCCTATACCAGAGCTACAGACTGTAGCTCAAGTGAATTTTGCTACCCTATACTAGACTAAACTCCCCAAATCCCCCCTATCCTAGAGTAGCTGTATTTCAGAAACAACTGAGGTCACTAGCACAGTCCAGCCAAAACAAAACCAATTTGATTTTTTTATATTCTTGAGTGGCAATTGCTGGTTTCCCTAGTCAAGACTAAAATCTTCAGCCAATTGATCAGTTTAAATAGAAAATGATACCTTCTTCTAGACCCAAACTCTCTGATTTATATACTCTATCCCAGAGTGAACTGCTTCAAAACTATACCCTTAACAGCAGCACAAACCTATATAGCCCATATATGGCAGTACCCCCCCCCCCCCCGGGGGGGGGGGGCTTTCATATACCTAAATCCTTATTAAGATACCCATTTCGGGCAGACCCTCCCCGAAAAAGCCTTTAAAGGGTGTAACCTCTGCAAAACAAGACGGCATTCCATTGGGATGATCCGGATCTGGATCAGTGATCCGAGATCACTCGGATGATGTAGCCTACGAGCAGGCTCACGTGCGTGAGTTCGGGGAAAAATTGTCCAGGAAAAGTGAAGTGAAGCCGTGCTGCGGAACATGGCGCTGACCAAAAGGACCGCGCTCTGGGAATTTGTTAACATCTAGCCACCCACACAGATGTTTTAGGGCTTCATCTAGCCTGCGAGCAAGCTCTCTGGGCCGCTCTAGTGCTTCAGGGGCTTCATCACGAGTTTATATTGTGGGAAAGGAGTGCAAAAGAACAACTGTGAGGGAGGCTAGCTATAGTTCACATCATACTAGATTGATGTCATCTGGTAATGTGAACATAAGGTATTGATTGTTTACAGATCCTGTATCTCTCCCAGTTTTGCAAGAAATTATGGAACATGATGGCACCCTTATGCTAGAGAAATCTGAAATAGTTTCAATCAACTGTCTCTTAAGAGACACCTCTTAATGGACACCTCATTAAAACAGACACCAAGAGTTGGTCCCTCCCTTTCTCTACTCCATTGAGTTGACCCTCTATAAGACACACACACTCACTAAATGGACACACAGTGCCTTTCCAAATGGTGTCTTAGAGAGTTTACTGTACTACAATACATCAAAAGTACAGTGTCTACAGTGGAACCCCGTTAATACGGTCACCAATGGTTCAAAAAAATTTGGCGGTATTAATGTGGTGGCCTTATTATCCGGGCAGGCTCAAATTTCATGAATTGAGGTCTGAAATGACAAATACACGGTACAGCACATTCACATTTCTTGAACAACTGTTCTCAATAATAAACAACTGGAATGTAGATATCGTGTACAGTAATTTAAACTTCAGTTTAAAAACAGTACAAGAACAGGCTCAGTCTACTAGGTCAATAAAATTGACATGTCAAGGGCATTGTAATTTTCTAACTTTCGAACAAGTGGCCGTATTAATGGGGTGAAATTTTAAGAGATTCTACTGCTTGGGATTTTAAAATGTGGCTGTTGGCCACATTAATGGGTGACCGCATTAACAGGGTTTTTTCATAAGGAAATGTATGGCCGTGTTGCCAGGCCGAAAAAAAGTGGCCTTGATAACGAGGTGACCGTATTAATGAGGTGGCTATAAGGCGGGGTTGCACTGTACTGAACACAGTGCCATTATTAAAATAATATTAATACAATAAAAACCTGTGACTAAGAACCTGCATTTTCCCAAGTTAGCCTAGAGAGGTGCTCACATAAATGGTAATTGGCACAAATTTGGGCTATTTAGGTTTGTAAATACTTGGTTCCTACTTTCTCAAGGAAAAAAATTACAATGTAGCTAAGTGTATTTAGTGGTATGTAGCTCATCCTTTAGGTAAAACCTGTATACCATTACAGAGTTTGGAGTGATGAGACACCTATGTCTCCAAAGAGGATCCTGAATGTTGACTTATCTTATTTGCCTAAGGGTGCAGGTTCTCATTTTCTAACATCTATAAAAATATTGTTTTATAGACATTAAAAAATAAGAACCTGTTTTAAATTTTAGTCTAACAGGTTCTTAACAACCAGGGCCCAGTTGTTCGAAGGCCGATTAGCGCTAACCCGGGGTTAAATTTTAACCCGGTTCTCTTATTCTCTTCATCAAAAGTATTTTCTTGAACAATTTTCTCTATTCTTTTTAGAGTAGTCAATCATCAAATTATTGACAGAAATAATTAAACTGAATTTGCTTTTTAAGCTTTCATATCTGAATTCAAATTTTGAGCTAACCCTGGGTTATCTTAACCCAGCTTTGAACAACTTGGCCCAGGTTCTTACTCGTGACTTTTACTGTATTTCTCATCTGGTCAGTGAGGGCAGCATCTAGTAAGGGAAGGTGCTCATTTAAAACATTTCATTATCAATTCATTTTTACAAATAACACAATATTATGCATTTTCCCCTCTTTTCTTTACTTTATTCAAAAACAGTAGCACTGATTCAGGAAGAAAGTTACTATTTAAGGTCTAAATATGTCCCTTTCCACAGAAAATAGATGACGGTAATAGCAATGGCAACAACTATGTTACATTTTAGCATAAACTGTGATTAAAATCAATGAACATCATATTGTAGCTACGGGGATGGAACCATATTAATCTTCTCATAATTATTTTATGATCCGACATGCAGCACTCACTTGGCAGCACTCTCATGAGTAAGTACCATAGTGTAAGAAAACGGTCATGTCATTATTTTTGTCAGCCCCATTCACACCAACAATGTTTAAAAGCACTTTGGTTAAACAAGGTTTAAATTTCTTCTGTTTATAGCAGCTGTGTACTGTACTTTTAATGACTAGTTTTCTGTTTCGGTCAGTTACTATTTTTCATATTTTTTCAAAACTTCATTCAATTAAACATGATTACTTGGTGTGAATGGAACATAAGGAACTTGACAAAACTGCATTCATGACATTACGCAGGAATGAAAGGCACAAGGCATATTTAAAATGGTTTACACATTAGCTTTAACACTCTCACAACACTGCAATGAACCAAATGTTCTTAAGAGTTGAAAGATTGCCCAAAACTGGTTTTGAATAATTATTTTTACTCAACATCACATAAACATCCATTCGATCTTTTTGAAATAAATTGTCCACAAGTACAGTGCGTCACAAAAGTACACAAACAGAACAATCTCTAAGTACAATGTAAGAAAATGGATGGCTTACATACATGAAATTGAAAGTAATAATGAGAGAAATCACAGTGGCCTGTTCCAGGCTCTGAGATAATTGGGTCTACGAAATTGAGAAGGCGCAAACATGAAAATAAAACAGGAGGAAACTGGGAAGAGGAAGGGCGGGAAAGGTCACATCCTTTCTTTTTCCCACCACTGCTCCCTTTTCCCATATCACGCACTCATACTTTCAAGTGTGTTTTACTTATGCGTCATCCCCACTATCTAAGACCCTGGAACAGGCTACAACCACAGTTGTTTTAGTGTCAATGAATGTTTTCACTGTTTTCAGCCCAATGGCCATTCCCAAATGTATCTTGTTGCATATAAACTTTTTCTAACTTTTACTTTTAGTTTTTTCTCTTTTTCAACTCATTGGAAAGCCAATCAAGACCTTCATATAATCCATCTCCGCTTGTTGCACACGTTGCTTGGATGTACCACGAACGGTTTCTTAAGCTATGCAAGCCTAATTTGTCCGTTATTTCAGCTGCATTCATTGCATTTGGTAAGTCCTAAAAAAGAATAATAATAAATAATGTAAGCATAATGATACCACTGCTGTTCCAAAAAGGTTGAACAAAAACATTGTTAGGGTCACTCATAGCGCACTGACTACAGACTATTAAGATCGTGGGCTCTTGTTCTTGATGTTCACTGATAACAGACAAGAGTAGAGTAGATTAGAATAACAGTCAGTACAAAATGCAGATGGCAGACTGCTGCAGACCATTGTTTTCACCATGCAAATGAGAACATGACAACTATAGTACCATTGTTTTCTAACTCTGAAAACAATCATCTGCAGTCTGCATTTTGCACTGTCCAATTAAACTAACTTTGTCCCCCTGAAGTATCTTTGAGGACCCCTATTTTCCAGCAGGAGGGTCCCTAGGCATGCAACTGTGCAGAGAACACTGATGTCTTTATGATTATCATTACTAGTACAGTCGAACCTCCTGTAAGCGACCACCCAAGATGCGAAGACCTAGTGGTCGCTTACAAGAATCTAACCACAGGGGTATTTTCCGAGAAGACGTTTGGACACATCATCTTTATGGTTAATAATTAATTGCATGCAATTTCATGTGGAGTTCCACGTTGATTCTAAAATTCTTTGTATATAATTCAAAGTAGCATAGTACACACTGCGAACATAAGAGATCAGACAAATCATCATGTGGTCACTTACAAGACGTTAAAAAGGTGGAAAGTCATTAAACCATAAACCCCAGATAATGCTCGCGGTTCCTTACAGGAGGTGGTCGTTGACAAGAGGTTCCAACTGGAAGGCTTTGACTGGGAAAGTCTTGGTGTTTTGGATAGGGATAGGTGGTCGCTTATAGGAGGTGGTCACATATGGAGGTTTGACTATATAATAATTCTTGGCTTGCAACCACGCGACAAGGGGGTCTATACGAATAGAATTTTTTCTCAAAGAATTTACATGAAAATAGAGTTAGTTCCCAGGGGAGGGAAAAGCTTTTGTCCTTGACCTCCAACATTGCCGACGTGACATTATGTACAAACCAGCAGTAATTGTTTATACGACTTATGTATTTATTCCTTATTGCCATATGTAATTAATGAAAACACTTGGCTGCAAGACAAGATCCATTAAAAAAAAATTCCGGACGAAGGTTAGAATCCATCAGAAATGAACTTTGTATGAATATCCCTCGTAACCTCTTGCTCTTTAATAAATAGGGTAGTGGAGGAACATTAAACAGTTGATATAATAAAACATTAAAGGAACAGGATTCGACATTTTTATGATATCGTTTGTTGTAGTTTTAGGTTTTTTCTTGATAATTTTGTACCTGTTTGTTGGCAAATACGAGAAGAACAGCATCTCTGAGTTCATCTTCATTCAACATTCTGCTTAATTCTTCCCTTGCTTCTGCCACTCGTTCACGATCATTGCTATCCACAACGAATATTAGACCTAAACAATACATACAAGAGTGCTTATCTGCCAATTCGCAAAAATGAGCTACTAAATGCAAAGTACAAAGCGAATCAAAGAAATAATGGTCGTAAACTATATTTTACTACCTTGGGTGTTTTGGAAGTAGTGTCGCCAAAGTGGTCTAATTTTGTCCTGGCCTCCGACATCCCACACTGTAAAACTAATGTTCTTGTATTCAACTGTTTCTACGTTAAATCCTGCAAACAAAAGTTGACAAACGTGTTACATGACTGATATAATAACATGATCCGTGGAATAACCCCCGAAGAGTAACATAACGTTAACTTACCAATTGTTGGGATGGTTGTAACGATTTCACCAAGCTTCAACTTGTAAAGAATCGTCGTTTTCCCGGCGGCATCAAGACCAACCATGAGAATTCTCATCTCCTTCTTGCTAAAAAGACCCTTGAACAAGCTAGCGAAAGCACCCATGACTAGCAAAGTTGACGTTCTACCCGACGCTTGTTACGGAGGAAATGGAGGCGACCTCTTAGGTATGCATGCCGTATGAGAAGTCACGGGTTGTACCACAGGAATACCAAGCTGTTCAGTTCAACTGAGCTTGAGCTGCAGAAGTAAAAAGACAATGGAAGAATTTCAAGGAAAATACCGATAGCACCGTATGTCGACCCTTATAATGTTGTTTTTGGAAGACTGCACTTTTCGCCTATTGTCTTTTTCTGCCTATCACTAGAGTGTAGCTCTGGCCCTAATGAAGGCTAATTTTGTTAGCCAAAATATTGGAACCGCATACCTTTATTCCCTTTTTGCCTTGATACCGTAAAATTCCGAAAATAAGCCCCTGGGCATATATTTTTCAAAGGCCCTTTTTGGGGGGCTTATTTTTGGAGGGGCTTATATTCGGAGGGGCTTATCTACGGAGGGGCTTATCTACGGAGGGAAATTTGCGTTTCAAAATCGATTGGGGCTAGCCTTATAGTTGGAAGTAAATTTAACGTTTTTGCTTTGTTTTACTTTGTATTTGACAGCAATTTTCCAAGTATAAGCCCTCGGGGGACTTATATTTGGAGGGGCGATTTAACGGAGGGTTTTTTGAGTTACTGGTTTGGGGGACTTATATGTGGAGGGGCTTATACGTGGAGGGACTTATTTTCGGAATTTTACGGTAGTTTTTCTATTTTGTTCAAAAACTTAACAGTGGGATTTTAATTTTCTTCGAGGGCTAGCTCAGGACCTTTTGGATGGATTTTCAATCGAAAGGTACGAGGAGAAGCGTGAATCTTTTAACGCTGCGAAGTTTGAAAGAGGAGCGATACGATTTTCTGGGGGAAAATCGCTCCGGCGCGGGAGCCCTTTCTAAAAAAGGATTCCTCCCTTGTCGTTCTATTATTAGGAACATTATTAGGAATTCTTCAAAATTGCTCCAAAAACCGCTTGTGAGGCAAAAGGACGACAATATACCACAGTTAAGGCAATTCAACGTTTATTGCTGCGGAGCGACCGAAGGGAGCGAGCAGCAACATAATCAGGATTTAAAGGAAATATATAAGGGGCGACGAATTCTCGAATTCATCACTTTTTACCACAATGCATTGCATTTAACCACACTTTTTACCACAATGCATTGCATTTAACCAGAGTGCATTGCGCCACTAACAACTCAAATAAAAACACGGGGAAGTTCGGTGGGTGAGAGAGTGCATCGTTAGCTGCACAGACTTAGAGTTTTCTTTGTGACAAATTTTCTACAGCACGGTTAGAGGTCTCACCAAATTTTAAGACACGCAGGAGTCTTTCAGATGAGTACGATGGTTAACTTGGGGATTGGATTTCAATTCAAGAGCCTTTGACTCGTCCAGGTGTTAAACCGTGACGAGAAGATGAGCATTTGCTCTTCGACTCCGCAACACGGGGGATATACAAATTCCAGCTGGCTAGAAGGTGATGTGAAAGTGAGAAAATGTCATGCAATGCTATTCTTAAGAAACTGTATGAGCCGAAAATGGATGTGATTTGGACCATTCGCTTCAAAATAACAGCGGAAATCGAGATAACAAAGCATATGTTTTGTGTCCTACTTTGCAGACGAGGACGTGTATCGGCGTTTTGAAAAGCATAATTATGTTCTTTCATTCATTTATTGCCTTGGAATATGCGTTTACATTGTATATTCACTGTTAAAAGCTCGGTTAATGCGGCGATCATCTTGCCGGCGGAAGTTTCAAGGAAAAGGAATAAAGTGAAAGACTTTTCCTGATGACTTTGTAATCAGCCTCTGTGGTGTAGTGGTTAGGTGTAGTCGCGTCGAGTCGAAGGTGCCGGGTTCGAGTCCTACCGACTTAGTTATTCCTACTTCCTTTTTTTCCGTTTTTTGTGTTGTTGTTTTCTATAAATATATAGCTAAATAACTGTTACTTAATAAAGTGCAACAAACAGCAAGAAAAGTATTGTGTTTCCAGAGAAATATCGTGCACCGTATATTAAATATATGGATAAACAATCTGAATTTCTATTATTTCCTACAATTTACTGTGGGAAAACCAGAGTTGATAACCACTTGATCATTTTCTAAACAACGTTCCCACGAGTTCTTTCTATAGACTGATATTAATTATACATGTAAATAGGACATTCAATGTCATTTTCGATTCTTTTAATTCTCACTGCTTAACTAATGCCCGTATCAACAGAATGTGCCGCAGCATTACTATCTTTTAGATACCCTAGTTTAATATTTATTTATAGGGAATACTAACGGTAAATCACAAGGAGCCCACACACATTGTGCGGGTGCCCTGTGCTGCTTCATAGGATTTTGGAGTAATTCTCATAGGGGGCGTCTATTAGACAGGGGGCGTTTAGTAGAGAGGGGCATCTAATTAAAGTTTTACAGCCTAAAGGGAGCGTTTATCAAGCTACGTGCAAACAGACGCAAATACACATGTAACATCCAACAATGTTGGGAGCTGTTGGTCACAATGTTGCGTCCGTTTGGGGCTTTAGATAAGAGGCGTTCATTTGGTCATTTACGGTATTTTAATAGGTTAATTGTTAAGAAAAGCGGGGGCGAAAGGAGTGTTGGGAAGAGGAGAGCTCACTTGTCTCCAGCTCTCGCGCTTCTCAGGAAAGCCGCAGTTCCTGTTCCTCGTTTCAGTTAGCCTGCGTGGCAGGCGTTCGAAAGGGAAGGGGAAGGGAATTAGGGCGCCCCACACGCTCTCTCGCGCGCCCAAATTCCCTCTTCCCCTTCCCCTTTCAACGCCGGCCACGCAGGCTACGTTTCAGCCACAACCGCTCTTATGTGGCTGATGAAGTAATTCCTACACCGTGTCCCACCGGTATCACAACCACTTTCTCAACACTGATTCTACCTAAGTGGAGTGAATCTTTGTGTACAAAATTTTGCAGCAAATTTTTCTTTGCAAATCGCGAGACAAACAAAATTTTATTCACGAGCTAAAAAAAGAAAACATTAACTGCGTAGCTGGTGGTTCTGTTCGGGCGCACATATAAGCTACGTGAGCTTCCCGCCCCATTCTCTCTCACCCCATGAAAAACGCCAGCTACAGCAGGATTTCTCAGGAGTGGTACGAGGAGAAAGCATAGTTTTAGCGCTTGGAACATTTTTATGTGCCGTGTCAAAAAACAGAAAACGTTGCGGTAAGCATCTCAAGTAAATGAACATTGTAATGTTTTTCAGATTTCAATCTGATTTTACCTTAAACATTAACATTAATTCCTTGCAAAGAATAATAAAATGACTTTGCCATACATTTGAAAAATAATGTAAATTTAATGTTCAGTCATTGTTATCCTAAATTGCTGTAGACAAAAGAGAATCTACTGAAATAACCCAGCACAAAAAGCCATGATCCAGTGTTTAAACTTTAGGCAAGAAAATCAAGCCATAATTCCTACGCAGGATTTTTCACTCATCATGGTGTTTATAGTACTGTACATACAGCATCAGACTGCTGTGAAAATCTCACATTTGTTCTCCAAACAACAATAATTTTGAAAGAGTTGTAGGAATAGCTTCAAAATTAATGTCCATGTTTTAACTCCCAAGGGAAACTGAAGACAATGCTTATGCAAAATTTTGGGATGACAAACAAAGAGCATTATGGTATGTTACAGTGTTTTCTGTAGTGGTCAATTGTCTTGAGAAATGTCAGGAAATTCCTCTACTACTTAATCATAAACTATGGTGGCAGGAGATAACTCATAGCTTGATATCACTTGGTGCCTCCAGTTATCAAAGGGTTAGGTCATCAGGAGAGTTTATAAAGCTGCTAGAAAATGGAACATAGAAAATGCAAACCACACAAAATTTCAAAAAAACTTCCTTTTCTCTGTTTTGTCTGCTTTGATTAGTCTGCCAATATATTACTAGATGCCAAGTAATTATGTAAGGCTGTGCAAAGAAATGGCTTTTAAATGACAAAAATCTTTTAAAATGAAAAAGTTACAAACCACAAACCACAGATATTAATTCTCCAAACTGGCCTCAATACATTGAATGAATTGGTTGAGAGATTTGAAAAAAAAAAAGATCAAAGCATTTTCCCTTTAAGTTCTCCTAACCTTTTCTTCTAACCACGGTTAAGGTAAGTGTTATCAGCTGAGCTGAAGGCTGAGGCTGAAGATACTTACCAAGACCTGGATTATTTAGCATATCACAAAACCCGAATTCAGTGATAACTATTGTTTTATTATACACTGCTTTGAACAAAATAAGGAAAAAACACAGCACCGCTTGCAACACAGTTTGACATTACTCTTAGAAAAATGGAATGTGTGCAGAACCTACAGTTTAGTAAGTTATCTGCTACTAATCTGTAGGTTGCGCTGATTTCTGAAATTAACTGTAGGCTCTTAGCCAATGAGAAGACAGATAGTGATTACAATGTATAATAAAAGGAGAAATTTGATGTTGCTCACTCTTGTCACTTGAAAGGTTAACTCTGAAGAACTAACAGGCCGCAATTTTGATTTTTTTTTTCAGCTGTTCCATCTCACATATTTGCTTTGTTACTGAAATGGTCCTTTACATTTCATTCAAAAACTCGTTAATAATTCATACAGAAAAAACAAAAGAAGTTAATCTTTAATGAGTGTCTTTATCTCTGATAGACGCGACTTAACTTTACGACTGATTTTTTAGACCAAAATAATCCCAAATATAAATATAACCCCAAGAATGAGTTGATCTATATCAGAGATTTTGAAGCCATTCGAGAGACTCGCAGTCGTGTATTATCAGGTGTTAAAACTCTCGGCTTCAGTTTTTAAACCTGATAATACACTCCTCCTCACTCTTTAAACAGTACCTAAATTTGGTGGCCAACTCCTGATGGCAGAAGTTGGCTCAGTCTTTTAAGTCCCAACATCCACAAACAAAATCTCCAGACTGATCTCCATACATTTTCTTACAGAATTAGTTCAGATAATTATTTTAATGAAAGATCAAAGCATTTTTCCTCTTTGCGACCATTTTATTAGCACTCTTGACCTTTTCTTTTGGTTATGTATTAACACTGTTAGTACAAAAATCGATGTCAATCACTTTTGGGGCTTAAAAGGAACCTTGCCTTGTACTGTACATATCTGACAAAAAAACTAACTAAAACTTGAAAGCCTCGTGTTGTGAACTCTCAAACCAATTAACAACACAAAACATCAGGCCGCAGTTGTTCATAAGGTGGATAACACTATCTAATGGATGAATTTCTTTCCAGTGGATAGTGCAACTGTTTGTCCCACTATTCATCCACTAGGTAGTGACTTCCCCAGTGGAGGGCGCTATCCAACTTTTGAACATTCGGGGCCAGTAAAATAACATACATGTAATCTGCTCAGAAAATAAAGTAAGGACTGTAATTTTTCTTTGACGTAAGGAACTTTGGAGTTTTCACGGCCAGAGTAACCTTCTACCTATTATTATTTCGTTGTGATTCAGTTATGTTACTTTGCATTTTTCAGCTGATTAGAAAGCCAGTCAAGTCCTTCATATAAACCATCACCGCTTGTTGCACAAGTTGCTTGAATGTACCATTGACGATTTCGTAAGCTATGCAGGCCTAGCTTATCAGTAATTTCGGCAGCATTCATGGCATTTGGCAAATCCTGAAAAAAACATACATAACAATTAAGGACTGTGAGTCACACAGAAGAATTCAAGAAAACATGTGCGTAAACAAAGCAAAATTATTTGAACTCCCCAAGGGTGAAATTTTGTGATTTGCTGTTAACATAGAGAAAATAAGTAGTGAAAGGAATACATCTATGTAATTAAGGAGGACACTTAATTTAGCTACAGTGTGTGAGAGCTGAAAGCAATAATTTATTGAAGTTTAAATGCAACAGTTTTTAATCCCTACAACTATGCAGATTTCTTCTTCAATGGTCAGTATAGGTAAAACATGTTAATTCAGCATAAGGCAATTAAACTTAAATGATTCATTAACTTTAGGGACGTTCATGCTAATAATAGATTGCCTATTAAAATTCTGTAAATGTTTATCCATACGTGCATATGATTCATGTTACAAAGTCATACATGTGCAATGCACACATTTGTCATGCAGAAACTGCTCCATTTTCCTCTTTACAGTTTTACCTGTTTGTTTGCAAAAACGAGAAGAATAGCATCTCTGAGTTCATCTTCATTTAACATCCTGTTTAATTCTTCCCTAGCTTCCCCAACTCGTTCACGATCATTACTATCCACAACAAAGATTAGCCCTAAACACGAGATAAGGACGACGTCAGTGTCAGCATTTGAAATGTAAACTATTAAATAAGTGGAAATCATAATGGTACTGTTGCAGGCAAGAGAACAATTAAACATAGCAGTCAAAAAATTGTGATCAATATTTAAGTGACCATTGTGAGACAAACGATAAAAAAACCCTTTACAAACAGCAAAATAGTTTATCGTCTGGGATTTTCCCAATGTAGGGAAAACCTGGCTAGTTTTATTGGAGAATAATCCCAAACAGATTGAGAACTTCACTTTTTCCCAACCATTCCGGCTTCTGCTGACTAATGAACACTGAAATCAGTAGATATCCCTAGTGATCTGGGATGGTCGGGGCATTGGGGCAGTCAGAAGTATCGATAGTTTCCGGATGTATCCCAGATTTGGGGAATGGTCAGTGAGTATTCCCGGCACATGAAAACTAAAATTTATGCTTTCGGGAATATTGGTTACAGAAGCGAGAAAGGTTTTCACTTGGTCCCAATCATTCCACTTCTTAGCTACAGCCTTTCCTCAGGGCTTAAAGTTTAAATTTGAGTTTGGGAGCACTTGTGCTACCAGATGTAAATTTTTAGGCGCACTGCCGAAATTTTAGGCGCACAGCTGAAAATTTTAGGAGCGCAGCTTATAATGTTGGGAGCATCTATTTCAAAAGAAAAAGTAAAAAGCTTAACAGTGCCACGTTTATTTGTCATCTTCAGTTTGTTACTTTTACTTCAGTCCTGTGATTGATAAAACACAGCCGATTTGCTACGCAGTAATACCGTTGTGATTTTTAATACTAATTTCTCTTTTTGACAGTACAGTTGTGACTAAAGAAAACTTACACTTGAAAAACAATTCAAAACTGACAACAATGAGTGTGTCGAACGAGAATGAAAATTAATCTTATAATGAATTTGTTAAATGTGCAATGACTTACATGTACCTGGAATACGACTTAACAAACTTTCTTACCTGGAAAAAAGGCTCTTAATCCATACTGTTTTTGTTTTGATTGACATTAAAACTGAACGTTCGACATGATCGTTCGTTGTGCAAAAAGTACGTGTTTCATTCGTAGCATATATTTGCATGTGTCAGCGGTGTTTATTACAAAACAGAGCAGTCTGGGATGGAGTAAGACATCAAAATGAAAACGAACATTCGAGTTCGTAGAATCCATTGGGAGAAAAGACCAATTAAACATACACTGTCTTTCTAGTTTGAGTTCGTAAGTATAGTCGGAAGTAAGTCAGTCACACTGTGCTTTGGGTTTTACGGCGCACAGGTGCGCTTACACTTGAATTTTTAGGCGCACAACCAAAAATCCAGTCGCATACGCGACCAGTTAGTTGCTAACTTTGAGCCCTGTTCCTCACATAAATCAAAATGCCCCCCCCGCAAATAGAGCCATCTCTCTTCACTCCTGGCTGCTGGGGATGTTTCATGGGAGACACATCTGCCATTCTGCGCCATCATTCCCCACTGATGACGTAGAATTGTCTGGGATCTGACCAACAAGTGCCGATTGGTAGACATAGTAATTTAATTCTTTTAGTTATTGTTTCCAAATGACCCGCAAAAGACAAAAGTAGGGCTCGACTAAAGCTCTCTCTGATAGCCCGGGCTAGTGAAGCGACCCATCAGGCCAGTCTCCTTTGATCACAGTTTGCCCTACCAGCAAGCAACATTTGTTGTCTTTTTCTCATCACTAAGTTAAGAAATAAGAGTACTGGTTTCATTTACCAACCGATCATAACCCTCATAATGAGCACAAAAATAAGTTTTCGATAAACTTTATAATTATTTATTGCGTAACACCAGCCATCAGGAAAAAAAACAGCTGAGTTTTTTTTTGCTTCTTAGTATAATATTCATTTGAGAGATTGATGTGCAAAGTACAAAAAAAGGTGTCACAACACTCTTGCAAGATGCACAAATTCCCAGAATACCTACCTATACATGCCTTCCACACAATCACTTAAAAAACTGGCAGCAAAGTTTCACAACCACCAGTCATTTCTTTGAAATATGATTAAGTAATAGTTCAGAGAAAATTTCTTTTCATGATCATTCTTTTCATTTGTTATGTATACTTGGGACCCTATTCTTGGTGGCAATTTTGTTGGTGCCTAGTTCGTTTAGTGGTGAGGTGACCAGATACCCTCTGGGGCAGATGGTAACCAGTCATTTCACCCCCAAGTCTGTTTGCCCCAGCTATTTAGCCTCTACTTTAGAGTCATTAAATATGTAATATATCTCGTTCTTTAAGCCATGCTAAAGGTTACTTAGGGGATGATCAAAGTTTTTTTTGGTTTGAAATTTTCCAGATTTTTGGGGTTGGAAATTTTGACTTTTTTGGGTGCAAACCAAAACGAAGAAGATTTGTGATCTGACAGTTCCAACATATCCCGGCTGCGTAGTTCTGCGAATAAATTTTCTCTGGATTTCAAGTTTTGACAAGGATTTTGATCCCTTGAAATTTTTTTTTTGGGTTTGCCCGCAAATTTTCAAACCCGGAGTACCCAGGGGTCAAATGACCATACAGTTTCCTGACATATCTCTTCCAGTAAAATCCCGTATCGTCTGGGATTTACCCTACATATGAAAACCAGGCTTTAAGAAGAAAACCGAAAAGTGAGTTAATTAAGTTTACGTATAGTGGTCTAATTTTGTCTTGGCCGCCGACATCCCACACTGTAAAACTGATATTCTTGTATTCAACTGTTTCTACGTTAAAACCTATAAACAAAAATTGAAAGTGGTACTTTTCAATTGACGTGGATCAGTGAATAAAAAGAACAAGGCATATCGAACCATCGATCAAGGCATCGTATCAAAACTACAAGAAATTTAAAATGGCGTCCTTCGGAGCGGTTGCATACCAATTGTTGGGATGGTTGTGACGATTTCACCAAGCTTGAGCTTGTAAAGAATCGTTGTTTTCCCAGCGGCATCAAGACCAACCATGAGAATTCTCATCTCTTTCTTGCCAAAGAGACCCTTGAACAAGCTGGCAAATGCACCCATGTCTAATAAAATTTGTCGGTCAACCAGAACTGAAAAGACGGGAAAACGTACGTCAGTAGTTACAGAAGGCACCACAAAAGGGAGGGAAAATTCTTCTGTAATAGAAGTCTTTACCTTTAAGACGTCAAGGTTTGAACAGAGGGTTTATGAATGGTAAATGACGAAATTCTTGCCGGCAAAATTCAACCACGTCGAGGAAACTTGTTGCTACTGAAGGGCGCGTCACATGTGCCACGTCATTGTCTAGGCAAGGGGGGTCCTTACATTGCCCTCAACCCACAAAACTCTGAAAACTGAAATGCTAAGAAAGTTTGCCGTTTTCTAAAAAATGCTGGATAAAAACGTGACAACTGACTGAAAATAATGAATTTCATGCCAAGTAGAAGAAAAAATTTTCCTAGAGTGAAAATTATTGAGAATTTTTAGTGACCATTTAGATAGCAAATGTAAGCGTGACGGAAATAAGTGGTTTATACAGCATTCTGTAATGATGCGTGACAAAGGAATCCCGGAAGTCAGAACCGGTTGAAATCTTGCAAAGTCGGCAAGTTAAAACTATAAAACGAGCAGCAAACGAGATGCAAGTTCCCAGACATCTTCCCCCTTGTTAGAAAGCAGATTTGTCGGTAAAGATAGTCACTCTACTCTTGTCTCTAACTAACACGACGTTAACGTCATTATTATAAACTTCCTCACACATTCCTTCTGTTGAACTTGGGTTCTCTGTGCTACCTCGCTGCCTCGCCGAGTCGTTTTTCGCCGTTGAAGTACTTGAAAATTTTAAGTCAGTGTTTTCTCCCGTCGACAAACTCTCATCATGGGAGGTGTGTTCGCTAAACTTTTCTCTGGTCTTTTTGGCAAGAAAGAGATGAGAATTCTCATGGTTGGTCTTGATGCTGCCGGGAAAACGACGATTCTTTACAAGTTGAAGCTTGGTGAAATTGTCACTACCATTCCAACAATTGGTAAGCTCTTCTGCTCTCCGTTTTTTAGACACCATGTAGTTTTATCGTATTTATTTTATCTACTACTCTGTGTCAGTAACGTAACAGCGTTCAAAATTTTTGTTTTCAGGTTTCAACGTAGAAACAGTTGAATACAAGAACATTAGTTTTACTGTATGGGATGTCGGAGGCCAAGACAAAATCAGGCCGCTTTGGCGACACTACTTCCAAAACACCCAAGGTATATTTTCCGAATTGCTTTCGTAATGTTGTATAGTAACTTTTATTTCTTCTTCTTCTTCTACAGCTTTACCTCGTAGAGTGCTTAAACTGTATTCATAACTTGTTCTATAGGTCTAATCTTTGTCGTGGATAGCAATGATCGAGAGCGGGCCACTGAGGCGAAAGACGAATTGGTGAAGATGTTGAGTGAAGACGAACTCAGGGATGCGGTTGTCCTTGTTTTTGCAAATAAACAGGTGAATAACAAGTCAAAGCTACAAAAATGGTGTAAAACCTTGTTTTTTTGGTAGCTCGTGTCGAAAAATTTGTTTTTAACTTAATTTCATACCAATATAATTATACGACACAAGTCGGTTACAAGCAAACTTGCTGCACAGGTTTACCATCCTCTGTAGACCCTTGTAGGGACCTTAAGATACACAGTTTCTACCTAAGGGTACGAGTAGACGAACATGTTTGCCATGTTGTTATACAAAAGGAGACCATGATTTCCCAGATGTGATAACAGCATCACCTTTCTACCCGGATGCCTAATTGTTTCTCTGGGATAAGAGGCAGTCTACCTACATTAATGGCTACTCGTACCCATGCCCGTACACAGAAATGATGTATCTTAAGGTCCCTAATGATAGACCTACAGATTCACGACGGGGATGAGATTTAACTTAAACTTTCATCACATATTCTGAAAATATATCCCCAGGAAGCTGCATAAATTGTGCTCTTTTTTTTACCAGAAAAGTTCACACAGTCATTTTTATTGAAGGAGGTTAAGCCCTCTCCCAACTGCAAATTGAGAAACCTTTTAAAAGTTTCGCTAACATGGCTATCATGTTTTTCCACCAAAATGACGCTGGCTCATGCACGCACACTACTTAGTATTAAGAAAATCTTGCTCTTGTATTAATTTGTCCTCATCTTAGAATGTGAAGGTCTCAAAAAGATTCCATGTTGCTGTGCTTCTGTTCAGTAACAGCGCAGATGATGTCAATTTGTGTAAAGTAGTCTGAAAGTGGCGCACCAGCCATGTGCAAGAGATTGTGTCACTGATACTCTTGCCACGACTACTTTGTTCTGTTAGGCTGATTTAGCAACAGAACAGGAACGTCAGTTGATGACGGCACGTGCAAATCAGACAACTGGCTTGACCAATGGCAGAGCGGCAAATTGAGCACTAGAAGTCATGTTTAGTCCTTTCCGCGAGCTTTCCAGTTGTCAACTGATGTTCCTGTCCTGTTGCTAAATCAGCCTATTACTGAACAGAAGCACAGTAACATGGCATCTATTTGTTTTATACAATGCACAGAAAAGAAAACATGTGACAAACGTGCTGAATTTTAAGCCTGGTCTAAACATGAGATGATTTAGTGGTATTTTATTACCCTGAAATAGTATTGACCGTGGGAAAGTTGCTTACTTTACTTGAATTGAGCAATTTTTTTACGAATTACGCGACTTTCCTTAATGTGTTTGATGTCTTTAAGATATTGCATTCACTTCTACAAAAGTAACAAAGGCGAGCCTATGGATGGAAACTTAAAATAAATATATATAAGTAAGACGTCTGTAGTTTGAAAGAATAATACAATTTGAAAATGCAAAGCAGTTATGCAAAACTTGTCAATTGAATCGATCAAAACATTGATGACAGTAACTTCTGAGGATGTGTGTTTTTCAGGATCCCCCTCCTATTTGGTTTCCAGAGCCATTAAACTCCCTCTCTTATTGGATTTTCCACCATTCCTTCTGTTGGGGGAGTGTGGATTTTTTCTGGATATAACCCATTTTACAAAAAATGAAATTTGGGGATTTTATTGAATTTTGACTTCAGTTGACTGTTCTGCGGGTAAGAGGCCAGGGTTTCTACAGTGTAGGTGGTGTCATTCGATCTTTTTTATACAGCATGTCATTATGTTTTCAGGATTTGCCGAATGCCATGAATGCTGCTGAAGTAACTGATAAGCTAGGCCTGCACAGCTTACGTAATCGTCAATGGTACATTCAAGCAACTTGTGCAACAAGTGGTGATGGTTTATATGAAGGACTCGATTGGCTTTCCACTCAACTGAAAAATAGGAAGTAATGTAGGTTTTCTAACATTTGCAGTGTCTAACCTTCTTTGTGGGAAAAACGGAGAAATCCTACAAAAGAATTCCTTTGAGTTTGTGATGCAGCAGGTTCATATACTTGTAGTAGTATTAAGCTAAAGTTTTCAAATTGATAAAACTCCTTTGGCATTTCTGACTGACCAGAGGCATTTTAATGCATAAAATGCAGTCTTAAATTTTTAAAAATGAAAGAATGTTCCTATTCTTTAGGAAATGTTGTTGAACATCAGGGACTTAAAACATAAACTTGGGCAATTTTGACCGAGATTTTTTAGGTGACATCAACCTCGTTCCCAGGGGGTTCTCTTCATATATCCATCCCCACGGAGTGAGAGAATATGGTAGAGGTGGGCAAGAACCCTGGGAAAGAGGTTGTAGCGACATTACCCCAGTGGTGACTAGTCACCTCTACCATGTTACACCAAATTTTTGCAGTCCTGTGTTTAATTTTGTGAATGGAGATATTTTGTATTTTGTAAGACCAAATTTTTGCAATATTATTGTGAAATACTGGTTTTTCAGTTGAGAATGTATTGTTTGATTTACTGGAATTACAACACTTGGGTTTTGTTTATAAACTACATGTGCCCACATTACAAGTGTCCCCTCATGCAGAGATGTATCTTGACAAAACAGCTGACATTTCACGATGCCATCACTGGTTGCCCTGTGAAATGACCTCTGAGCAATGACTGCAAAAATTCCCATACAGGTCTGGGTATTGCTTCCGATCGTTTAAAGTGAATTTCTCTTGTGACACGACCAATCAGAAGCCCTACCCAGATCTGGGTAGTGACCCGTCATCAGTATGGAATTTCTACAGTGGTTGCTGAGATGTCATTTCGCGGGGAAACCAGTGGTGGCATCACAAAATGACAGCTGTTTTCTCGTGCTAGCAGAGATGTAAAACATTTTAATCATTAGTATCACTCTATCATAGTAACATCTTTTACAGCCTATACTGTGACTGATGATTGCTCCTGCAATCGATCAGCAACATTGTAACCTGATGCACCATGATCTTGCGAGTTAATTTAATTAATTTTCTTTTTCACACTGGTATTCTGCTTAAGTGCAGAAAATTTGTAGATTGTGAGAAAAAAATGCAAAACTTGCAAAAATTAGAACCTGCAAAAATTTAGTGACACTTGATAGGTCAGATTATGAGTAATTTGAAACTGGTGTAATTTTCATTGTTTTAGTAATTATATTTAAATAATTTGCGCATAGTGATATTTGACCCAAAATTGTTTTCATGCCTGCAAAACACAGACTGAGGTCATTTGAATACATAGTATAGTTTTGCAGAAGTCAATAGGAAAATACTGTAAGGTGTCTTCTGCCTTTTTTGTCTCTGCCTAAGCATAACAGCCCCTATTTGTTTTGAGTATGTTTTTTGCTGTTTATGAAACATTATTATTTTTGCTTGAAGAGTTTACAGAACCTAGTACATAGTCTTGTTGTTCAGTTCATAATACAACACAGTCAAACTAGCTTGTAGTAATATCAATAATTTGCCAGTAAAATAAAAATAAAGAAACACTGACGGTCTTATTGCGAAAAGCGCTTTGAAATGATATAAACATTTCAAGGTTGTTTATACTGTGTGCCTTAGCATGGGACTGGGCTCCAAAGTCGGGGGAAAAGGCAAAACCACACTTCTTGGTTCGCTCATGGATTTTTGCTGTCTCACCCCATTTTTTGCCTTTCCCCAACCACAGAGCCTGATCCACGTAACTAACTGAAGTACAAATTTGGTGTCATTTCTGCAACAACTGCCTTTTGAGTGGCTCATTTGAAGCAATTTATTATTAACTGAGATATGACTGGCCAGTATTCAGACAAGCAGCCTCTTTTGGGGAGAAGTGTTGGGCGACCACCCTCACAGTGGATGCATAAGGGCCTGTTTACATGGATATGGGGGACCCCAGGTACATGTAGGTGAGGTAACCCGCTTAGGTGGGATGACCCACGTGTCGATATAATCTCTCATTTTAATTTGATCACCTTTACGTCACGGTTTTTTTCATCATGTTACCTCACCTATGTGGGGTCCCCCAACTCCATGTAAACAGGCCACAAGAGACTATAAACGAGTCTGTGGACAAGACCCTAGGGTGTGATTATTCAAAACAGATAATTTCACATGGTACTACAGTAAAAACCTACGAGTAAGAACTTGGTTTTTAAGAACCTGTTAAGCCTAAAATTTGAAACTGGTTCTTATTTTCTAAAATCTATAAAAAAAATTATGTACATTTGGGCGTATAAAATAAGTCAACATCCACGATCCTCTTTGGAGACATAGATGCCTTATTACTCCAACTGCAATGTAGTGGTATGAAGATTTTATACAAGGAATTAAGGGCTAAGAACCACTAAATAATCTTCCGTACAATGTATTTTTAAGAACCTACTTAAGAACCAGTTAATTAAAATTGTGCTAATTACCTTTATTTATGGGAAAATGCAGGTTCATACTCATGGGTTTTTGATGTATTTTGTGTTTTCCACACTCTCCAGGATGAAATTTGAAATAATTTTGTTAAATTCTAACCTTGGCCGATGCTGGTAGAGAAAAGGTTAATACGTGGATTACAGAAGGTACAGATTCCTTCTTCACCAGAAACCCAAAGATGAACAGGTAGAAAAGAAGACTGTGGTACAGTACATTTACAATAACCACATGACAGGGTTGAGGACATCTAAGAAAATGTAGCCAGCCCTGGTGTTTCACATGTAGGATAACACCATCCACCAGATAACTCACTATCCACTGGATAGCGCAATTTTTTTTTCCTAGTACTCATTGACTGGATAGTGATGGATAGCGCTATCCAATGTTTGGACAACTGGGCCCAGGTCACCTTTTTTGCTGCTTCCAACTTTCCCCAGCCAGCTTCACCAAATCCTGTCCCCCCTTCATAAGCTATAGCACGGAAATACAGCCCTTTCTCCTTGCTGCCCAACCCAAAAATTCCATACTGATGACAGACAATAAAACCCACAGCAAAAACACAAGGTAATTCTCAACTGTTACACTGCTTAATGAGTTTATTATTATTTAAAACTGTTCACTGGTGTACTATGAGCTAGCCCTGAAGATATTTACAGTAACAGTAATTTTTTTACAACCATCATTTTCCTAGGTTTTGGTCATTTAAGATGTTTTTTTTTTACATCTCATGCTCCTGACATGATAATCTAGTCAGTCATTTTGTTAAATATTATCACCATAAGACAAAACTGAACATAATTAAGTCCAGCTGTTATAGAATTTACAATAATCAGGAGCAACAGCCAAATCTCTTGCGAGTTGTTTGCATACTTGTAGAAGATGTCCACTTTCTTTTCTGCGGATGAAACACTTCCATGCTATTCAGATATTCCATACCATCAGAGCCACCGACAATATACAGCAGACCATCTACAACTGCAGTTCCAACATCACTACGCCGCTGTTTCATTGGTGCAATTATAGTCCATGTGTTTTTATCAGGGCTGTAAATTTCAACAGTTTCTAAGCTCTGTCCATTGCAGCCACCGATTGCAAACAGGTGTCCGTTGAGAACTGCAACACCAACCAGACAGCGTGGCGTTTTCATGGGTGAGACTTGGTACCAGACATTTGTCTGACTGTTGTAACGCTCCACTGATGAAAGGTCAAAAATGCCATCATAACCCCCTGCAACATGTAGCAAAGATTCATAAAATGTGTCATGCATGTAATTTTTCAGTGTCACATTTACTATTATTAATAAATTTTTTTATATATATATATATATTTTTAAATTTTCCACTGTGACCCAACACAGTGACAGAGGACGAAATAGGACTTGCATCAACTCCTTCATTACCCACCCCATCAAAGGTTGTACCACACCAACGGGGTCTACCCCCCCTTATACTTTATGAACAGCAGTGTAGGTTCTTTTACGTCCTTCAAGAAACAGCACAGTGAAAGAGCTATGAAATGGAACCCATGGTTTTTTGTCCTTATCCTAGAAGACTAGAATGTATAAATGTCACAACAAAGGCAGCACATTCTCCTCAGTTATTTTACAACCTTGAGAGTTGGTCTAGCCGGGGTTTGATCCCACGATCTCCCACCCGGCAGACCACTACCCTAAGATCTAAGTAGTGACACATCACCTGTTGAAATTTTTGCATATATTCCTCAGATGTCATTTCATGGCTCATTTCAAAGTTAACAAGAGTGTAAATGTTAACTATCTAACAGTACTATGTAACTATTTGGGGTTGTTATGTTTAGCTTGATTGTCTTTGTTTGCAGTTGTGTACAATAGAATTCTTAATTCTCTTGTTACTGTTCTGAGGTCAAAGAATAGAAAAATCACAAAATTTAATACATCCCAATTCTACCTTTCCCTAAAAATCATGAAATTAAATACTCATGAAATATGGCTCATGATTTTTCATGGAATTAAAATTAATACTCATGAAATTAAGAGAGAATATTAAGGTACATACCCACAGCATAAAGTTCACCATTCAGTGATGCTGCCCCAAGCATGCTTCGTTCTGTGGTCATTTCGGTGATCATCTGCCATTCTGCCATACGGGGGTTATACCGCTCCACTGTCTTAACAGTTGCCTGCCCATTATACCCGCCGACAGCATAAAGAAAGCCATCTAAAACAGCCACACCCACGCTACTTCTGTGTTCTATCATATTTGCAGTTGATGCCCATGCATCTAAACTAGGATCATAATATTCCACCTATGTAGAAAAAGGGACTTGCCAAAGTGGAAAATGGCCACTTAAAATCAATTTTTTTTTATCTTTGGCCATCATTATTTTAATGTCCATCTTTTCATTATTAGTTGATTGCACTTTTAAGAATCTTCCTAAAAAGGCTCAATAGGCCTTGCTAAGGTATGCTATAAATCAACATGTAAAAAATGAATATAATGGACAAAGAAAGACAATAGGGAACTTAAGAACCACGACGACGACCGGAAGTGAGATACCGTGCACTGCGCAAGCGCGGTTAACAAATTTCGTCGTCGTGGTGTCGTCAACGACGCCAAACACAGTAGAGTCACGTCGTCCTGCAGTCCACAAGCTTCGGCAGGTATAACTCCCTGTTTTTAAGCGATTTTTCAAGGGCTTTGTATTTTTTCACCTCATAAATCCAGGTATCTTTTCTTTTTTCTGCTAACAAGCAATGTTGATTGAAAATTTGACTGATGAATTGTGTTTACTTCGAAGACAACACTGAGCTGTCCAGGCCGAGGGAGCGAACTCGTAAGTGACAAATTTATTTGAACGTATTTAGGTCAGGCAAATCATATATCTTTAATACAGAGGAAATGAACTTTATATGGAAAACAGCTATCGCATCGGAATGTCTCTTTTTCCAAATCTAAACTCTGACAGACACTCGGACTCGGTCATGTCATTCAGGTTGAAAGTTGAATAACCTTCGTACGGAAAGCAGAGATTTTTCCATTCGTAAAGGTCAGACAACACTAAAAATTCTTCATCGTCAAAGAAAGTAGACGTACAGCTTATAAAATAAGATCTTGCATCTTCTTAAAAGATGCCTTTGCAAAAAAACTTTGTTGCGAACGAACATCACAGTTGTACTACTTCTACATGTTTGTTTACATTCAGTGTCGTCGTCGTCGACCTATCGATCGACTGCATCTTAAGTTTCCTTTTTCCCGCCGAAACTGACGTTCTCGTTCCAGTCCTTTCCCAGTCAACAGACGTCGTCGTCATGAACTTCGTCGTGGTTCTGAAGTTCCCTAATATATTTCCTTTGACTTCGTGACCCTTACACTACTGTGCTCCGTGAAAAATTGAACAGAGCCCAGTGCTCTAAACCTGTGAAATCCAGGGTGCCCAGCAAATCATTTCAATATGAAACTAAGATTTTCAAGTCGTCCAGGAGCCACTGTTTGATGCCAGGGGCAACTGGTCACTGCCAGAGCACAACATTGCCTTACAAAAATTTAAGATATAATTATTAAGAGAAATTGTAGTCTGATCACAATTTTATTAGCAGGGCATGATGAGAGTGCTGTCTGATAGCCCAGAGAAAGTGGAGTGACCCGCCAGGCTAGCATTTATTACCTTACATGTGTTATAGGAAATTTACGCTTCATGAAATTAGCATTATTAGCATTATTTCTTGAAACGTTAATTAAGTAGAGCATTAATTTCCATGACCTCAATTTCAATTATTTTATATACACTTCTGACATTCTTGACACCTAAGAAAGAGGAGTATTTTATCAGGGTGGAGATTTGCCAGTAACAGTGAAACTGTGAAGAACCCTCGTGGCCAGATTTCCTCAGTAAGCCCCCTTCATACATTTAGGGAAAGTACCATGAACAAAGTTTGCATTTCAGATTGTATGTTTAACTTTACTTCTTTTGTCCCAACAAGTTTTTGTTTCTTTGTAAGCGTCGCATTAATTTCATTTTTTTGAAAGTCATATTCAACTAAATTTGCATTAACTTTATAAGTCACATTAATTTCCAATACTTAACATATTATGAAGCCTTAATTTTCCATAAAAAGGTTGCCCAACACAAGCAGTATTAAATGATAAGGTAAATACAGTTGAACCTCCATGTGCGACCACCTCTTCTTCATGACCACCTTCCATAATCTTCTTTCCAGAACACCAAAATTCTCCTAAAGATCACATCCTTATAATCAGCCCCTCTCATTAACGACCACCCATTCATACACAACTGCGACTTCTTCATTGGCCTGACAGTTTTTATTTTCCGTTGTTTTTAACCTTGTAAGAGACCACTTGAAGCATGATGTGGTCTCTGTTTGCAGTATGTCCTGCACCGCCCAGAGTATAACAAGAACGTTCATTAACAACATGGAACTATTCTTACACATAACTCAGAAATTGCATGTAATAACTCATCTTCCAAAAATTAGATGTGTTGAGACATCTTCTCAGAAGAGACCCCCTGTTTATCAATTCTCATACGCAACCACCCCCCATTAGTGACCATTAAATCTTTGCATTAATGGGTGGAATTGTCAAACAGGGGTCTCTTCTGAGAAGATGAATGCCTTGACGCATATAATTTTTGGAAAATGGCAATGGCCAGATATCTAAAAAACAAATTTACCTGATTTACAGCTGCAATTCCATCTGATCCACCAACAACATACAAAATGCCATCTAAAATAGCTGCTCCTAGTCCACGGCGTGGAGTCAACATTGGAGACACTTCGCACCAGGTGTCTGTAGTTGGGTTGTATTTTTCCACACTCTTCACTGTATTTCTACCTAAAATATCAAGTATTCAAACTGTATCAGACATGTGTCGAGTTTAGTCATGAGCAGGGATCCATAATTAATTTTAGTAGTATTTTTTCAAAGTTGTCCGGCAGGCAATTATGTCAAAAGATATGCTTGCCCTGGCTAGATTTTATTTGCCTGAAATTATTGCATAAATTATACACCTGTAGACATGAGAAAGGCACTGACAAGTACGGAACAACATAATCAGTGTCTCAAGAGTGTCCTTATTTAAGGAAGTTACCATCAAGGCTTGGCAGTGAGAATTGCACTTGCCTTCAGGGGATCTCAGGACTTTTCATGGATCTTGATCAAGTCAAAGTGCAATAATCCAGAAAATCATAATTTTTGTATGAGAACACTTTGGTCAAGTTTGGAAGCAACTGGACCAACTTTGCAGAGCATAATGCCAGCAGCTTCAGCTTTTGTGGTTTGTGGAAAGCTAAGCAGCAGGTAAGGTCTTGGATGTTACATTAAAAAAAACTCTCAAAAGTTAGTCATCCAGTGGATGAGTTTTTGTATTGGGCGATTCCAGAAAATATCCATACCATACCACGGACGGCTTCTAGGATTTCCGAAGGGGAGGGGGGGTTCACGATTATGGAATTCTGAGGGTAGGGGGGGGTGGTATTTACGATTGGATATCCGAAGGTACTGGTGAATTCCACAGGTGGGATTTCTGGAGTAGAAAGTGTAGAGTGAGTTCCTTGAAAACGGTATTGTTGTGGACTTTTGTAGTTCGTAAATAATCCACGAACGTATGACCGCGGAAGCAGAAGACAAGGATCGATAGATCAGACACGTGTTTACGCTCATAACTTATACAAGTGAACAGTAAAACGTGGGTTTCACATTTACCTTGATGAATTTCTTGTCACATGAATAAATCTTACCGCTTGCAAATTTCTTGTTACTCCCGTCCGATGAACGATAAAAAACTCGCACCAGTCCCTCGCTTCCAAGGAACGCCTGGAAGCATTCGGACCGTCGGAGGGCAATCGGAGGAAGACTCGGGAGAACGAGGTCTGTTGTTTGTGGGCTAAACATTGTGAAGGAATAATTTGAAGGGTTTAGAGAAGGGAATGTCCTCGGAAAATGTAAGAAATCCCTTAATTGCCCCCAAAATAAACAAGTCTCATGATTTTCCTTATACTCGACCTAATCTTTTATCATGATACATTTCATGTACACTACATGAGACATATGGGTTGAGAACACTTTTCGTGAACACTACATAACGTATAAAAGGACGCAACAAGACTCGACGGTATATTTGACCGCTGAAAGATTGTAACTGTCTGAATTTGAGCTATTCTGCTTTGTAAACGTCAAAACAGCACAAGAAAATAAAGAGGAGTAAAACTGCCGTAAATGGTGTTTATTATTATAGCCAAATTCGGACTTAAAAAGAAGTTTTCACAGCCTGGTCACTAGCGGTAGGTTTTTCTTGTCGCTGAAGAGTAAAGCTTGTCGCCTAGCGCCGCTAGATCACAGCCCTGAGGAGGCATAGATTCATGTTCGTTTGTTCTTATAGGCGTTGCTAAGTCGAAAATGTACTTCCCAAAAAAAACGGAAATTCTGAAGGGGAGGGGGGGTTCACGATTATGGAATTCTGAGGGCATGGGGGGGTAACGCATTTTGGAATTTCCGAAGGCAAGGGGGGTTTAAAACATGGAAGCCGTCCGTGGTATGGTATGGATATTTTCTGGAATCGCCCATTATCATACTGGTCTGAACAATGTTATGGTCATCTTGGACGACCTTATGGCTGCTGAAATGGATCCCTGGTCATGAGGAAGGCATTTTTACACACCAGTTCACTGAGAACTGCTTTTTGCCATACTCTCACACTAGGCTAGTCAAAGTTGACAAAGTCAGTTCAAAATTGCTGCCTGGGCAACACAAATAACAGAAATTTGAGTTGACAGGAAATAATACTCCAGGAGCCTGTTTATTGAAGGTCCCAGGAACTTTTCAGTTCCAAAAAGCTGTTTATGTTTGCCATGTTTGCATTCAAGATCAAAGTTTCAATACTTTTGAAAGTGATTAGATCAAAAATTGACTGGTTTGTGAGCTAGGAAATGTGCATCTCATCAATAGGTTTTCATTTTAAAAATTGCCGTTGGGCCCGAAAAGTTTCCGGGTCTTTTAAGAAACGAACCCCTGGCCAGAAGAGTCGACCAAGTATCAGTAACGTATCAGCTGAATAATCATGGCTTATCAATCAATATGTCAACTGTTTTTTTGGTCAACATTCTGACCCATACTATAAGTCGTCAGGACCATCTATCAGTTGACATATCAGGTAACAGCTTGACTAATACTCAGCCAAGTAATGTCAATCAACACGACAACCGAGACTTGACATGTCGGCTGATATAATTTTGGCCAATATATTAATCAAGTATCGGCTGATATGTTGGCCAACATTTCAACAGGGGTGCCTCAAGTACACAAGATCCAAAATATTTGTATTAGTAATGTGGTTACTTATTGGCTGGGTTCCGTCACTCGCTTGCATCTGATTACCTGGACTAGTTTCCCCACCAATAACATAGATCCACTCTGCCTGGCCATACAGCTTGCGCGGCCTTAACCGGCTGCCCTGATTCATTTCATGGCGTAACTGAGGAGCGAGGTGGTACCTCCTTGCCTCCTCAAAGAGGTACAACGTGTGAGGGTTGCTTGTGATCAAACCATCGTCTAAGACTTTTGTCACCAAGAATTCCCATGCCATCAAGGGAAACCTAATTACCTCAGCTAATTTGGGAAATTTCTCTAGCCTGTCTTGTTTACTGTAATTGAGCCATCTCAAGGCTGCCTCATATATTTCTTCTTCGTGGCGGACATACAAAACATCTTCACTAAGAATTTCAATAACTCCCTCTATAGAACACTGCAAAAATTCTTCCAGCTGTGTTGTTTGGTCAAAATTCCGCATTGCATACTGTTTTGCGATTTTACTTAATGCAAAGCAACCGTGACTTTCTGCAAAACGCCTGATCCCGAGACAGTTTGAAGGATGCAATTCGCTTTCCAGAAAGTGGCAACATTTTTCCACTAAAGATTCAACCTGAAGCAAACTTGCGGCAGTGAGCAGCGACTGCACGTTGTCCGCCGTTATTTTGACCTTTGCAACGTAAGCGAACTCCACAAACAAGCAGACAGCGGAAGGATCTAAGCCGTTCAACTGAATAACGTTCTGCCTACTTTCTTTGTGATCACCCGTAAACATGGCATTGAAATACGGACTCACTGCTGCTAAAACGACTCGATGCGCTTTTATCTCTGTCTCGGCAATCTTCAGGATTACATCACAGAGTTCTTCACGATTTCGCAGTCTCTCCAGTGCGGCGAGAAGCGACTGAGCGTGCTGAAGTCGAAGGCACAAACTTGCAGTTTCACTGCAGCCGTCCGACAGAGTACTTGCACAACAGTCATCTTTGACGCCCAGAAGAGATCGCTTACTATTACGCTTCAAGTCCATAAGGACAGCACATTATTGGACAGCACTAGACAAAACTTTTCACGTTCGCAGCCTTATCCTACAATACTACCTTCATATAGGAGCAATGGACTGTCTCGCCTTCTTTTTGCACAGGCTAACCATCCTCGTCTTTTCCTGGTCGTTGTGTAAGTCGTGGTTCAGCCATTCTGGTCCCCAGAACCCGTCGATTTTTTGGTTCGTTACAAATTAAGCCGAGTGGCTGTGGGAACGAGAATGTTGTTCACCCAGCAGCACAATATAGCCTGGAACTAGGCTCTGCCGTGGGGAAAAAATGGTAAAAAAAACGGAGGGAAACAGCATAAAAATTCGGCGAGCGAAGCCAGCCAAACGGTTGACTGGGGAGGGGGAAGGGGTGGCGTCTTGGCCCCTCCCTAGAGTACTGCTCGGCTCGCTTTGCTCGCCGATTGTTTTTTCCGGCTTTTTTTTCCTTACTGCGGAGTATGGTCCCAGGTAGCCTTCCCCACGGGAAGGAACGCGTGACGCAGGCCTAATAATGTCCGCGGGGGAGGCTAGGTCCCAGGCTACACATCATAGCCTTGGAAGTCTTAACCATTTGGGGATATGGAAATAGTGAAGTGTACAAAGCCTTGATTCTTGAATATTCTATTCAATTTTTTCTCTTTGATTCCATATATCCTTTTAAAATAATCTAATGTTCCATATTTTCGTTATGCGGTGATTGTGATCATGATACACTATAATCAACTGTACAAAAATTAAATTCGTCTTAAACAAGTTATCTCTAAAACAAGTTAATCCTTACTACTACTACTACCACATTCAACACCAACACAGGGACCAGCGAAGGTAAAACAAGTCACGCACACGAGAGGCGTAAAGAATTAAAAACGCCTTACTTTTTTTGCTCTTTTTTTACTCCTCTTTTGCGGTAAGGTCAGTGTTGAAAGTAAAAATATTTTTTTAGCAAGTTATTAACGTACCGTATTTACAAGTCTAGTTTAAGCCAAGGCTTTTATGTGTCTTTGTTAGGAAAACAAGCCAAGGATTTCGTCCTTTTGTAAGGAAAACAATCGTGAAATAGCGGCTGTATAAATATTCGCCAAAAGAGCTCAACCTATAAAGATCCAGATGATACAGGTAGTTTGCCGGATTTTGTTGCAATATTATGAAGGTATTTCCTCGCAATAATCTTTTCTGCAACTGGCTTTCCATGAAGCAAGAATACCCGTTACGGCAAACTCCTGTGAGACCAGTAATATTGTTACGGTAAGAGAGAATTCTTCAAGTTCATATTTTCTTTTAGCCGCAAGCTTGAATTCACCGCATTCTTTTCAAAAGGCAAGCCAGCCATGGTGTTCATCGTGGTACTTCATCTTGGTACGAAAATCCCTGAACGTCACCACAATGACGATGGGCTTAGAGAACGCCAAGCGAACCTCATTCAAATTTTTGTAGTAAGAGCACAGAATCGTACTGCTTTGCAGATGGTTGCTGCGGCCCTGTGCAATATTACAGACCTTTAGATTCTGAGATGAGGACGATCCAGTACAAGAACGAGATTTTCTCGATTCCAAGTAGTGCACTCACGTAAACCAGCGTAGGGAAAACGCGATAGCCGTGGTACTGTCGCAATTTGTTAATCATAACATTTTGTAATTATACCCTTTCTCAATTCGTAATAACTTGTGTCGCACTTTGTAACAAAAAAGCTGTTGCAATTTGTAATAACTGTCCATCGCACTTTGTAATAAACTAAAGTGTCGCAATCTGTTATAATTCCATCACACTTTGTAATAAACTTTAGTTAACAAATTGTATGAAATTCGCTTTTATGACTGTGATCTTCGTCAAAACATGAAACTTACTGTGATATGACGGTGTGCTTGTTTGCGAGTGCGACAAGGTTTATTACAAATTGCGACAGGTATTATAAAGTGCGATGATTAAAAAAATATCGAAGAATGCAGCCGTCGTCTTTCTACGTCGGGTTTTAGCGGGAATGTCGTAGTGACCGCGGAAACAAGTTATCAAATGTTGGTTAGTTATTTATCATTTTGCGATTGGGACAGGGCTTAAACTCTTTCATAAAAGATAACTTATTCTTTCTGATAAAAGAAAAAAGGGAAAAAAAGGTTTCCTTGCCTGAGAAAACAGCCGACATTTGGCGACGCTACCACTGGTTTCCCCACCAAATGACGTCTGCGAAACGAGCGCAAAAAATTCGGTACTGCTGACGCGTCACTACCCAGATCTGAGTAGTGCTTCTGATTGGTTGAATCAAATTTCCCACGCGGCACGACCCGATCTGGGTAGTGACCCGTCATCAGTATGGTATTTCTGCGCATGTTTCTCAGACGTCACTTCGCGGGGAAACCAGTGGTGGCGCCGCGAGATGTCGGCTGTTTTCTCAGGCTAAAGCTTTCCAGGTTGACTATTTTTTGAGAATACGCGAAAAAAACTTAAAGTCAAATGGCCTCCTGGTAGTCGCCCGTATGCTCAAATCTAAAAGTCTCTTTTCTTCCGACATGCCTTATAGCCTATAACTACAACTTTGATGAACATTCCTCTAGTTTCGGGATGAAGTTTTCTCTTTCGCTATTTGCATCTAATTCCTCGCCGATACTTCGTTCCGAAGCGTCGTCGACACACGAACTGTTTGTTGTCGTAGCTCCACTGTAATTCTCGATTGAGGTGGTATCTTGCGATTCTAGTCCGTGAAGCAAAAATACAGGGACAGAATTTGTCCTTAGAGGCCGACAGTCTAGTTCGTCGGGGGGAGGTGTCAAAAGAATTTCAATCCGCGTATCCCTCCTCTCAGAAAGAGTGTTCGTTTGATTTCTTGCTGGCAAACTTAACGTGGAAGACCTTGGCTTCCTCTCTCCAAAAGAGAATCTCATGACGTCACGCTCTGAAAAACGATTGGAATGTTGTATTCTTGCCAGCACGATGGGGTCTATTTTTTGGTTTATGTAAGGCTCAGAAGATCTGCGTTCAGAAAGAACAGTCAATGTTGAAGAACCCCTTGAACGAACCGTTTCAGCGCGTAGTCTGTTTGAAGGTGGTTTGCAAAGCTCAAAGGGCTTTTTGAATTTTGCGAAGCAATTCTTCCATATCTGACGGCAATCTTTGTTCATAAATAACAAGAAGAAGAAGATTATGCACAAAAAGCCAGGAGCCACAAGATTGATTAACGGTAAGACTGTGTTGTAGCTGGGAGACTTGCAGTCTTTCGATGTCTGAAAAACAAGATATACAATCTTTTCCCATTGTATTGGTACGAAAAAATAGCAGTTGAAATAACATCATGGAAAATATAGACGTTAGCCTGCGTGAAAAAGGAGCTCGAGAGTAGAAGGCGCGGATCCACACCGGTTTCCACCGTTTTACAGAAATCGGTCAGTTTTTTCATTATAAATATTTTTTTAATAATAAAAAACATTTTCCAAGTTTAAACCTGGGCAATTTCCTGCCTGAATGACTCTAAAACCCAGGAAAGGAGACTTGAAAAGTTAAAAACCAAAGCATTTCTTGGGGGAGCCTGCCCCTCGGATCCCGCTAGATAGTACTTGCGCCTTCGGCCCTCGTTTAGGACATCGGTCAGTATTTATCCTAGATCCGCACCTGCATGTCTATATCAAAGACACTGCACTTACCCTCGTCTTTATATAGAGGCTAGCTAGGGACTCGGTTATGGTCTATAGTAGCTACTGCGTGGCGACAGCCACATGAAATTGCCATGAAATCCGACGCAAGTTTACGCGCGCGATATGAAATCTCTCATATATCGCATCAAAAAAATCCCAAAAACTCGCCTGTGTAATCATGGTTTGAAATATAGACCGTAATGATTTTTGATCTGAGAAGTTACGTCGACTTAGATGGAGTGATACGTTACCTGTAGACAAAGAAAATAAACTTCGGAATCGTGGATAAAACCTCTTACGCAGTATATGATTACAGTGTTGATGGTTAAGACAATTCCCACCAGCAACAGCATAACGACCGCCATGCTTATAAACTGCCGCTCCACGCGCCTCATGGAGACTCGCTCATCCCTCGCGCGGATCACACGTTTAGTTGAGTCCAAACGAGCCTGGCAAGAAAAAAAAAACGACCATTAGTGTCCACCAAGCTAATTACGGTAGAACCTCGATAAAACGAACCTCTAAATAACGAAGACCTCGGTATGACAAACGATTTCCTTTAACCCAGTAATAATAAAATATATGAAAAAGAACCTCGATATAGCGAAAAAATTTTGCCAGTCCCTTATATCGAGGTTCCACTGTAACAATGTTTTAGCGTAATCTGGTTGGTTAGCTGGAAAGAAGTTGAACGTGTAACAATAGTTAACATTCTAGGGCCGTGCAGGCTATCAGCTATTTATTTCAAACGTTTTCCTCGGTGGAATCGCTTTTATCTACGAGTCCCTTTATGCAGTTAAGCTAAAGGCTAATGGTATCATGCGGCCATCATACAAGACGAGATGGAATCCCAGTAAAGAGCATTTACGTGGCCAGTAGCCATGCAATTCATTGGAGCAAAAAAGAGCTAGTTTTTACGTAAGAAAAAAGGTTAAAAAACAACAGAGACAGCAACATGGCTGCCGTTTATTGTTTTGGAACACGAATATGGCGGACGTGAAATCATATGAAAACGTTCTGTTCTTGCTCACCGGAGTCTGAGTCTGAGAAGCACGAAATTTTCAGATTTTCCAGGGCCTCGTTTTGTTACCCATGATATATAGATCGAGGAGAAGTCGTTACGTCACGTTCCCATGGTAGCAAAAATTCTGGATGACAACAAACCGAAAATTCACTTAAAAAGTGAATTCGCACTGTTTCAAACTTAATCAATCTTATTCAATTTCACTTTATTTGTCAAATGTTCGCGAAATTTTCTGGGGTTGAATCCGAAAGGACTGTATTTAAGTTTAGAAAAAGAAAGATAAAATTTTTGTGTTGGGTTTACCTACTCTATAAAGCAAGCGCGTTAAATTAGGAAGTTTCACGTCGCAGACGTGAAACAACGGCTAAGAAATGTACAAAAAAGCGTGATGCACGTGCAAAGTTGTTGTTTTGCTAATATAAACTTATTGCTTTTTAACTGTTTTTGTTGCCGTCGCCGTCGTCGTTGCTTAAAGGGGCTGTATCGGGAAATTCAGCCAAATTAGGTTATTGCAAAATGCACGTTGAATTAAAAAAAACATAAAAATAACCTTTTAAAACGTTAAAGGAAGGTTAAAATAACGCAACAGATACAACAGCTGCCACGGATGGGCAAAACAGAAGACGATTGAAACGGATTAAAATTAGGGTTTTTGAAAACTGTTCAGCCTAACAGTTTGTCAAAGTTTATCTCTGCTTTTTGCAGCTTCAAAAATAATGCTCAGGGGACATAATTGTTTGCCTCTAATCTCTGATTTTGTCATTTACATGTAATTTCTTTGCCTAGTTTCAGTTCCATAGCGATTGAGGGCGCCGAGTAATTGGTAAAATAAGACAAAATGAAGTGGACTGTCGTGACACAGCCCCTTTAAACTCCCTATTGTTGTGATCCAGAAATTTTGCTACTATGGTAACGTGACGTCACACTTCTCCCTCCATTGCAATTCTGCGTTAAGCTTATCACGAAGGTGAAATGTTGGATGTTCTTCTGATGGAGAACGTAGCCTGCCAAGCAAGCGTTTCCGCGCGAGTTCGTCGAGAAAGTTGGGACGAGAGAATAGACCTCTTTAGCTTGTATATTTTGTTTTCCCAATAAAGGTCCCAGGGGAACTTGACCCTTTTCTTTTCATAAATTATGCGTACATATGCACATGAATAAGACGATTAAATTTGAAAGAAACAGTTCTCTAGAATATTATCACATGACCTGTACTGGGAAAACAAAACAAGCCAAAGAGGTCTATTTCATTTCCTTTGCTGTCTCTCCAGCGTTCGCCCAATAACTCGACTGGGAACGTTTGGTACGCAGGATATGGAGAACGGGAAATGGGAAACGGAGCTCGGGGAACGGGAGATGAATAATGGATACAAAACATAAAAATAGTCGATGGAGTTAGTAATGGGGCCAGGATTAAGGCTATGTTTTTGTCCATTTTTAATTTTTTTCTTCAGTGAGCTCGTTCCCCGTACCTAGTTTTAGTAACAATCGTGTCATGTCTAATAGGGCAATGAAAGGTAAGACATGTGACTAGAAATAATTTTACTACCTTTCTCAGACACCATACAATGGACCACAGCAAACACAGAGACACTCCTAACGAGACCTGCATGGGCAGCGTGAAAGCGAAGTAAGCCATTTGAATGCTGTCGGTTCCAGCGGCCAGAAGATCGGCGAACACAAACCTGTATCCAGGGGGAGAGATAAAAAGACAGCCTAAAACAATGCCCGCGGGGCCCAACCAGCTGAAGACAGATTGCATGAAGTGGAATTTGACAGGACGCTTGAAAACTCCTCGCCTTTCATGTACGATAACGGCGTAAGTATTCACTATGAAGCACATGGCCCAGAAGGAATGAGCCAGACTAAAATAATGCGATGTGGCGCCTGAAAAATAAGGAAAGATTATATTAAGAAATTGTAACATTTCCTCATGTTTTATCACATGCTCTGGGGGATACAGCCAAACGGAGGGCTAGAAAGCCGTTGGATATTTTACACGGTATTCCATGAGTTGTATTCCACGGTCGCAAAGTAAACGGGGAGATGATATTGAAAGTGACTTCAACAAAACTTTCCGTCGACGCCTCGCTTGGCAAAAATCTCCACAAAAATTCAGTCTACAGGCAAGGAAGTTGCTGAGGAGCAAACTGCCTCGTGAGGCGCTTAACTCAGTGACCAAAGCCAACGTTTGGCAAAATTTCCAGATATCTTTTTGTAAAATGGTGAAAAACAAATATTGCAATTAAAGTACTGGTAAAGAAGCTTTGTTTGAGTGGTCACACTAGTATCGACCACTTTAGAAACGAGGAGGAAACTGGAGCCAAAATGCGTCCCGCAATCGTTCCTGGAATCCCAGAAGTCTTTGCGAAAGTTAACTCGACCCAGTTTACTCCTCGGTTTTTAAGTAGCGAATGGGATCTCATCCACGTATACAAAGAGTGTTGCCGCACTGTACGCCTACGACGAGAATCTGTACTTGGATAAGTTCCTTACGATCGATTCAAGGAAAATTCGCCAATAATCGACAAATTACTGCATGAGCGAGGAGAAATAATATCGATGATAAATGAAACAAAACAAATTCATTTTTAAGGTGACGTCTTGATGCCGTCGCCATCCGGTTGTTTCTTAGACACCAGAAGTCCGTTACGAGGTTGCTGAGTACGTATATTTTGAAAATTACCTAGGAGTTTAACAGCGAACGAGGAATGGCCACCTAGCTTCCAATATTTTTCCTCTCCACAAAATGTCTTCCCAAGTCCAATTCGAATGGGAATCATCCTGCAGCAAGCTAAAGGAGAAAAATAGGAAAGAGAAACCGTAGGCATATTTAAGGAAGTTCAACAACCCTGCTGGATAACACAATAGTCTTATAAATATTCCAAAGCGTGCTTATTCCACACGGCAATTTATCAAGACGTGCGTTGCGTTGCCACGATGGGGCATTTGTTATCAAAGTTCTGCCTGGGGTTGGGGAACTTGTCATTGCTGAACTTCATATTTTCTGCCACTATTTTATAAAAAGGAGCCTGAGAACTGATACACTCCACTTCCGCCGTTTTGCTTCAAATTATTCACTTGGGTGTCCTGAGAAAACAGCCGACCTTTCATGACATCACTACTTGTTTCCCTGCGAAATGACATCTTAGGACCAATTGCAGAAATTCCATACTGATGACGTGTCACTACCCAGATCCGCATTAGTCGTGCTGCTAAGAAAATTTTCTTTAACCAATCAGAAGCACTACCCAGATCAGAATAGTGACGCGTCATCAGTATGGAATTACTGCGCATGTTCCATAGACGTCATTTTGCCGGGAAAACAGTGGTGGCGTCGCCAAATGTTGGCTGTTTCTTCGGGCTATCTTTTGGAGAAAGTCCTTCACTCTTTGGCTGCTTATAACTGTCACCTCGTTCCACGTTGTTGCAAATACAATCACGCAGGGGGGTATTTAGAATTGACATTACGGTATTGTACTTCAAAACCTTCATCTGTTAATAGGGATTCACCTTAAAGCAATACTTCTTCCACTTTCGACCCATTTTTTTTCACCTTATAACATTATATTAGATATTACTTACCAAGAAGGATGCAGCAAATCATGATGTGAAAGCGGAGAACGTGTGGAAACTTGCGGCTGAAAACGTTAAGAGGGCGTTGTTAATGACGTCAAGAGAGTGCGATCCTCAAGCATTTAAAAACCCAATCTTGAAGCCCCAAAAAAGCAACAAGCAGGTTGTGGCGTGGTCTCCTGAACAACTTTAAGATTATTCCTGCATTGCGCATCCTTACTGCGTATAATTTCACGAGTGATAGGAGAGTGCACTTTAAAACATGGCGACTTTTTCTTTAAGACTGGAGCTCCCCAGAGAGGTAAATCTTCATTTTTTCTTAAACGAGTTCGGTGATCTATCATTTTTTCGTTTCTTTCAAAATGAGCAGTAACGTTTTTTCTTTGCACATAGATCTAAATTAAGTAGGTTCAAGAAAGGATAGACGTATGTTATCTAGAACTATTAAGAGCGAAGCGGAAAGAGTTTTCCCACTAGGCAAACTTTACTTACAGGGCTTTTATGCTGGCCCAAGTAACGAAGGTGATAACTGTAGCGATAAGAACCAGCCAGAAACCCATCACAACAACCCCATAATATATCTTCTGGGTTAATGGCGACTGTGTTGTCCAGTCACACGGCGGTCGACATTGACTTCTTTCTTGGTCAAGAATTAGCGGGGAGTTGCATTTGAGCTGTTGACCTGTTGGTAAAAAGTGGCGGGAAAATTTGCTTGAGTCTTAATCAGCTTAGAATGAAGTTTCTGGACAATTTTTTCTCGGCGGCAAATTTGACGACTGCTAGCCCTTCGAGCAAGTTCCATGTCTGGAGAGAGAGTCGTGAGCTTGCATGGTGAGAGCGCAACAAATAGGGCGCGCAAGATTTACTTACCAGAGAGCAAGACACGTACGACTCCTCCTCACTCGCGGGAGGCCAAGGTTTTTATTTGCGCCATAAATTTTTCAAACGCATGCACGCAGGTTAGAGAGTCGTAAGTCACACGCGACCGAGCCGCAAAAATTTGTGACTCTTGGCCTTGCTCGCAGGCTAAGTGGTTCCTACTTCCTACACTATCCCGTGAGAAAAAAACTATAGAAGTGCTTCTAATAATAAAGAAATATGTTAAAGAAAAATGAATTTACCTTGTCTTGATGACTTATTTGGATTGACCCACGTTTCGCCATCTCCTAGACTCGTGGTACTGCGGAAGACGTAAAAACGTATACAGTAAGCCCCCGCTAATAAGAAGGTACATATTTTAAGGACTGCAAAAAAGGTTCTTTTACTTTGGGGTAGTTATTGGTAATTAGGCTAAGTAGATTCTTAATCAAGTACTTAATTTTTATACAACCAGAAAAATAAAGAAAATTGAGTTTGTTCCTTAAATATATACAGCACTAGTATTTACTATTCACAACTGCACATTGCAAACCTCCTTTATGTAAGATCCATGAAGACAATTACAATCTGTACTTTTTAAAACCTTTCTTCGTGGTAGAAATTACAGTAATACTTCTACTTGTAAGTACAGTTTGGTGTAATATCCTTTTGTTATATCAATTGGCAATCTCGAAGTCAAAATTTTTGGTTGAAATGCGATAAAACGGGATAAAATTAACGCAATTTTTATTTCTTTGCTCAGGAAAATGGGACTACTGCATAGTTTATGAGATACAAGAATTTCAGTTCCTGGCTTACTTTAGAGCATAAGAATGCTTCACCCCATGCCACGGAAGGAACTTACCCCTCACGGGTGGGATAATCGGAACACTTATACGAAGGTCTTTACGACCTTGTATTTCGGAAGTGATCAACCCATCGATTAGCTTCCCACGCAGGCGTTTTTAGGAGAGCTCGTTTTTCATCTCTCCCCTCTCTGTGGGGAGAGATGAAAAACGAGCTCTCCTAAAAACGCCTGCGTGGGAGGCTATACATCGATTGAACATAAAAGGAGTCAAGTCGTACCTCTATGTAGATAGACCGGCACGCGCACAGCATCCGATAACCAGCGTCACCTTTGGGTTTATGCTCTGTTCATTTCAAAGTGTCAAAACTCAGATTTTTTAAAACTAATATCGCCTTTACCCAAAACCAGCCAGCGGGGAAAGTGCAAGATAAGTTACTGAAGTTACAGAAAACGATATTGGAGAGAAACGCAATTATATATTACGCTGGCAAAAAGGCTATGGAAGACTTTAGGAAGCGTTTGAATTTCTAGATAATTGTCGCCCATTGTAAAACATGGCACAACCACGGGAAGTTTTATCGTATAAAGCACTTTGACTCATGACCACGGGTCATTTTTGCGGGTCGTCAGAATTTTGAAAATGTTTTTCATGTAACTGTGGCTAGACGACAGGTGTGCTTTCTAATCAAACCAATAGACGATAAACGAAACTCCCCACTTATCCGTTCCCTAACACATGATTTTACCCCAAGTAAGAACTTGGTGTTGACGTTGGGTTTAATGGGGGAGGGGTAGGTGCAAGTCTGATAACGCCGGTTGATGCTACTGTTGGCTATGACACTACTTAGCCACTGGAAACCACCATATTGGATTTTGCCTAGACGTTCAGTGGAAATTTCTCATATTAGACTTGTTAAAATGTGATAAATTATGCGGTTTTCGGTTTTATTATTTTGAATACAGTGTAAACCGAAAGGTGCCAAACTCTGAAATACCAAGGAAACTGGAAAATCAATATCTCGAGTTTCTATCCCGAATTAACGACGATCATGTACTGTCTGTACTGAAATCAATAAGAGGATACTTTAAACACCTCTAAAATCACTGTTACAAACTTAATGTATTACAAAGCAGTGTTCGAAGTCTACACCTCGCAGAGAGTCGTCTTTTCCGGCGAATAAGCCGTTAAAAGTCGGCGTCCAATCTCGTCGGCTTCGGCTGACCAACACAGGTCGAATGCATTTTTTCTTTAAATGGTCACACGGGCGCTAGAAAGATTGAAGACGTTCTTGTGTACGTGAGATTTTCGCGTACCCCCGTGTGCGACGGACGAAACGAGACTCTTACGAAAGCCGCCGTCTCATACCTTTGTAGTGGCCACTTTTGTTTCAGTTCAGAAGCCGCTCTAAATGTAGAATAAATAACCAATTTAACAATAGTTTTGAACCACACGCATTCCAGGAAAAGCCGTATTAATATACGGAGTACTTCAACACTTCGCAGTTACTTTCTGTCCGTAAAAGAAGCCGCCGGGAAAAATAATATAAATACAACAGTCGCATGCGTGCCATATCATATAAAAATGCTAAAGAATGTTCGGTACTTACTCATTCATGTTGTGATGTGGAGGATGATCCGGTTGAAAGATGTAGAATATCGTTGGTACAGTCACTGTGACTACTAGAACTAAGTGAACAAGATAGTAAGTCAAACTGCACCGGGAAAATGCCGACGATTTACTCCTCGCTTGCGATTCCGATGGCATAGCTTCCATATTATCAAGTAGATCAATGTTTCATTCATAAATCGATATTGCCCTTCGTTTAGTGTTTTTTATCGCCCCCAAACAGGAGCTAAAGACGTGTAAACAAGTGAAGTCTAATCTTCTGAATCTTTTGGTAACATGACACGGTAGTGACGACCCAGAAATGACAGTGACTGTAATTTTAGCTCATTTTGTGACCTGTTTACACAAAGGTGGGTGTCCCTTTCACCTTTTTATATGTACGACGGAAATATGTCGAGAGAGCCCAAGATAATAAGCTGTAAAAGATACTCGAGCTTATGGGAAAATGTCGACAGGGTCATCTCAACATACTCAACATTTTACTTAATAATATGAACTTTATTTTCCCAGGTCGCTAAAATCTAAAAGAGAACAAACAATTAATAAAACGACTTCTTGATTCTCTTCAGGACCGATCAGGAAAATGTCTAATTTCCGGCGAACTCATCGATGATGCTTATTAATAAATTAGTCATGTCAGCTCTGCACGATTTCTGCCAAGAGTCGCTCAAAATTTTTGAACGGGAAGTTGCAGATTTGGATCATAAAATACGAAGTTATTTTATCGTAATCTTCTGTTGGCGGGTAAACATCCTATTTTTCTTAAGATTGTTCAAACAAAACGCCTTCTTTGTCTACGCAATTTTATTTGATCAGAATTACAATCATTACTTAGACATTCGAAAATTGTTCGCATCACGTACCAATATCACTAGGTTTTCTTTTTTTTAGAGAAAGATTATTCAGTTGTGAGCTGTAAATACAGAAGACGGTATTTTTGTGGTACGGGTGCCCACTCCCCTAGAAAAAGATTCTTTCGAATTTAATCTTTCACTTACATGACACGATATACCACACTGATTCAGTTAAATATCATTCTTTTCTGTATCCATTTTTGGTAAGAACTTGGCATGGGAATCAACAAATTTTGTTGCCGATTTGTTGATTCTGTATTAAATTTTTAGCGCGGGATATGTTTAAAATTGCTTGCAAAATTTTGCAGAGTTTAGTGGGTAAATGTCTTTTTTAATTGATGTGATCATAGTAGACTGAATAAACATGATGGTGAGCTATGAATAGTGTCATCAGGTTCAAAACATCCAGGAGACATGAAAGGGAAAACCACTCTTCAGGGCTCAGCTATAGCTAGAAAGAATTAGACTTATTCAGTGTTTTGCACTATTTCAATGTATATGATTTCCATTTAAACGTTGTCATAAAAAAACTGCTACACATGAGGAGACATGAAAAAATGTAAAAAGCCAAACAGGAATTAATTGTTTGTCGATATACTTTATTCTTGCATGAGTCTTAAAATTTCCGATACAAGTCTTCCGTTGTTCTACTCAACACCGCGCTTTTACTTTTCATGTTTAGGCACATGTCTCCAGAAGACTATAAAAACTGTGCTTTAAATACGCCGATTAGTGAATAAATATTTCTAATAAATAAAAATAATCGACCAAATAAACACTGGAATGTCAAAAGTGGAGCAGCATTACTGAACGCTTTGTCTTGTAAACACTGGCACGCAAATGTGGAAAATTGTACCTGCCCTCACTGACTCATTGTCTAAGAATGATTATGACTCTACAGACTCTGGGTGATGAGAAAACGACAAACAAAAAGTTTGCTACATGTATTCTGTAAACGCAAGTGCATCATTGTTTTCAGAATTTTTAATACCCATACCATGCTTTGAACAACAAAAAACTAGGGGTCACTAATTCCTATTTCCTATTTCGCTTTATACATTTTTCTTTCAAAATTTTTCTACGACAATGTTGTTGTGTCGGTGTAAACAAGAAATTGTTCATGCTTGTAAATAGCCAACTGGTTAGCCTGGAAGCAAGTTCTACCCGGGGCGCTCTCTTGCTCACCGGCCCCCCTTACCTCCGGGAACCCTCGCAGGCTACCAACTGGTAAACTATTGTGTAGCCTGCGTGTCAAGCGCCGATATGGGTGGAGGATAAGAGAAAAAGGGACCATTTCGGGTTTTTCTACCTCTCCCCTCGTCTTTTAGCAACGTGTCTTTTGGTTAACTGGGGAAAGTCTATGCGTTGTAGAAACATCTCTTGGCGGGCTATGAATAATGAATATCTTGTGCACAATAGTCTGAGGTTTAATAGTCGAAAAAAGTGCTAACATGACAGTGTAGCTAGAACATTAACATATTCATGCGTCTAAGCTTTGTATGGTACATATGTACAGGTAATAATACTTAGATACAGTCTCACTTTTAATTATCTGTCTTCGTTTCAGCTGATGTGCTCCTCAGAGCCAGCTGTCGTCGTTTTTCACAGTGCAAAGTGCTTTTGAAGAATAAGCCTGGATGTCATGTATAAAGCCCTCTCTTTCAAGATTAGTGTTGCTGTTAGTATCTGATATTATACTGCTTTTACTTCCCAATTCGCTCAAATCACGTGAAGGAGAATTCAGTGATGACAAATTGGAGTTAATTTTTTCCGCGTCTTCAACGTTTTCATTGGCAACGAACAGAGGAACTGAATTACATCTAGATCGTTTGTCGACGTCATTCTGAGAGGTTATTTCTTGAATCTTTTCATTTGAGCATACTCCCGTATGACTCGTGAGAAGTAAGCTTAACGTGGAAGATCTGGGTCGCTCCATATTCACTGTTGTCACGCTACCAGGAAAGAGATAAGGATGTGTTAGTTTTAAAACATGATCAGCAGTGAAATGTTCCGATATCCTGCGATCCGAGATCACCGTGAGAGTCGAAGAACATCTTGAGCGATAAGTATCGGCGCGTATTCTTCCCGGGGCCGGCTTACATAGTTCGAAAATCTTTTTACACTTCTTGAAGCAGTTTATCCATATCTGACGGCAATCTTTATTCATGAATAACAAGAAGAAGAAGGCGACGCACACAAAGCTGGGTGCTACGACCATCACTAAAGGAAGTATGGTGTTGTAACTAGGTGACTTGCAGTCCTTTGAGATCTAAACATCAAATTAAAAAAAAAAACGAAATTAAAAGTAAAAACATTAAGCTGCCTTACTTTTCCATATTGCATGAACCTTAAAGGCGCTATGTCAAAAGAATATATATTACTGTTTTAAGTCAATTCTGTAGTAAGATCATTTCTTACTTTGTGCCTCCCCCCATACACAAAATGCTCCTGGAGAGTTATGAAGAAGATATCAAACAACTTTCGTCGGGAGCATTAACTATCAAAGTTATTTTTCTGATTTACGCAGGCATAACATAAAAACTTGAAAACGCTGGTCAAAGTTTTTCAAGTTTGTTACCATGTCCTTCCTTGTCACCCGTAGCAACATATTCACTGACAAGAGAACTAGTGACAGCCACCTTAAGATCTGTATTAGCTGACTCGTCCCCAGTCCTCTCTATTTGGATCGTACGCGAGACCGAAGGGAACGCGAGATCAGAGGTGATGGGAAGGAAGTAAACAAAAGGGAGAGAGAGGGTCTCACCTCATTCCTCCTTCCCATCACCACTCGCGCTCCCCCGCGCTTCTCACGTTAATATTAATAGATGATTGAGAGACGACTGGGAAAGAGCAGCTGCATTATGAGCAACTAAACGTGGCAGGTTAATGGTGTCCTATAGAAGCGCGCGAGTCCGTCTCTTAGCGCGCGTCGCGTTTTCTTGGAATCTTACCTGAAGGCAGTCAAAATAGTCTATAGCCTGGTGTATGAAGTCTCGAGCGCGGTTCATTGCAACAGCATCTAATGCGAGGACCAACCCAACGACGAACAATATCAAGAACGCCATGCTCAGGAACTGCCGCTCCACTCGACGCATGGAGTCTCGCTCTTCTCTCGCGCGGATCACGCGTTTAGTTGAATCTAAACGTGCCTGAAAGAAATACAACGCACCCAATCAAAAGTAAACTTCCAAAAAGACTTTGTTTCAAATTGAATCTACGTAAAATAGCGATAATTGAATTTTGACAAACCAAAATGTCGGGAGCGCACCAGTCTGAACGAGTCTAAAGTATGTGCGCTTGTAGCCCGTGTGAACACTCCTTTATTTCACTTGCTACGAGGGTAAACTTTTCGATTACGTCCATACCTTTCTAATGTGCCACACAATAGACCACAGCAGACAAAGGGAGACACCTAGTGTGACAGTCAATGGCAACGAGATAGCAAAGTAAGCCATCTCAGAGCTGGCGGGTCCTGCAGACATCAGGTCCATGAAGTAAAACTTGTATCCAGGCTGGCAGAAGTATAGACAACTGGCTACAACGACCGCTGGCACCAACCAACCCAACACAGACTGCATGAGGTGGATTTTGATTGGATGTTTAAAGACGGCTCTGTTATGGTGAACAACCACTGCGTACGTGTTGGCCACGAAGCACATGGACCAGAAGGAATGAGCCAAGCAAAAATAATGTGTCAAAGCACCTAGAAAAAAACAAATGACGAGAGGCAAGTAAGCTCATGGAATTGCTTGGCAGTTTGCATTGATATGCGTCATTTCTCTGTCAGTGTTTGTTGGGTAATTTTCTTGTTTTTGCTTAATCTTAAATTTGAAGCTAGCATGCAGTTTTGTGGAGTTGAGTTTGTTGTTATAGGCGTCATGGATTGGGTAAAATCGCTTTATTTCTTGATCGGGGGTTCTGCACCAGCTTGTTGTGAGTGACCATAGAATTGGTAGCCCTCGAACAAGTTCTATCTTTTCTGTTGACTCGGGGGTTCGACGCGGGAAGGAAAAAGAAAACTCATTTTCCTAAATCGAGAAAAGAGATCGCCAAGACAGCTTATTGCTTGGAGGCTGGTAATTGTCATGGATGTCTTACACGTGAGTAAAAGCTGTCCCGCTTTTCCTGTGAAAAGGCCCCCGTAACAAACCTACGTCGGGGTCGGAATCCCTCTTCAATTTTCCCCTTGCTGTTGACCCTCGCTGTCTCCTGGAGATTTTTATCCCATCCCCCTTTCCTTAACAAAAATCGTAAAAAAAAACAATAAAAATGGATGACTCATAGTACCTTGAATCACAGCCCACGTTGAAGATTGTCCTTCCGGGTACCAAAACTTTTCATTCAGACAGAACGTTGTTTCCGGACGCTTATGAATGGGAATCATCTTGACATTTGCTTCAAGGAACAAAGAAGACGAACGATCAGATTTTCAAAGCTTTCGGACTAGAGGGCATGTTTGTTCGATAATCGTCGGTAGCGTTTAACATAAACTCTTTTTATGCTGGAAAGGTAAACGGCGTGGATGAAAAGATGTCATTTGATGTAAGAGAGAAGCAAATCCAGAACAAGTGGAAGAGGTATATGTAAATTCACAGGATCTTGCGGTGTGATTTCTCCAAAGAAGTGAAGCTGAGGACTTTGGTGGGGCGGGTTCTAACATATTATGTCCGGTAGCTTGTTCAAGCGATTTTGACATTCTACAGTCAGTAATATGGGAAGACTTTAGCCACATCAAAAACGACTATAACAACACTACCAATAGAGACGAAATGTTACAATATCGATTTTTGGCGTCAGTAAAAATCACTTTATACGATTACTACATATTCTCATGCTTACCAAGAACAATACAGCAAATCATAATGTAAAAACGCAGAACGTGAGGAAACTTGCGCCTAAAAGGGAAAGAAAAAAAAAACGTGTGAACAAAAAAACAGATTAACATAAGATCAAACGGAAAAGTTTGGAATGAATATTGCAGTTATTTTCTACTACGGATAAAATTCAACAGACCTGTTGAGGGGGGCGGGGGCTGTTTGGTTAGTACATCACAGTACCTCATAAGGGTCTTATTTGGCTATCTCGGTGAGGGCCAAAGTAGCTAATTGTTTTAGAGACTCGAATATGGACCCTCGGGCTGAAATGAGTCCCAGAAAGAGCTGACATATTTCTTTGAGAGGACTGTTTTGGTTCAAATTATTCTAATTAGCATCATGATCACATGAGGCTGAATCAAACTTAGGGCCCGCAGGACAAGGGTAGCCATAAAAAATGGAAGAGGGACGATGTAGCCAATACCCACCGCGAGCGCAGCGGCGGAAGCATCACGTGATGTAAGGGAAGGGAACGCAGGTATGAAATTTGCAAAATTGTGATTGATTTTATGGACAATCGACCGGTTTTTGCAGAATTCTTCAAGGGTTCAGATTTTGTTCAGCGGATTGAAAAAAATCGCGGCAAAATGAGTGAAAAACATGTGGAAACTTATAAAGGGAAGGTATGTTCGCTTCCCGAGCGTTTCTCATTTTGCTTTGCTAGCAGAATGTCTCAATTTCGGTGCCCTTTTTTCGATCATGAGCTAAAAATACTTCTACGTTTGGTACTATTTTCATGAAGAAATGAATGTGGGGAAGAGCGCTGCGTGATGACACAAAGAACAGCTGTGGAGCAGACTACTTTTCAGGTACTTTCCTCTATATGATCCCATACTTATTCAATGGGCGACTTACAGGTTTTTAATGCTGGCCCAAGTGATGGCAGTGATGACTGTAGCGATGAGTGCTGCCCACAAGCCGACAATAATAGTTATATAGTTTATTTTCTGAGTCAGGGGCGACTGTGTGCTCCAGTCACACGGCGGTCGACACTGGCCTGTTTCTTGATCAGGGATTAGAGGCGAGTTACATTCCAGAGATTGTCCTGGTGATGTAACAGTAATAGTTAATCTCAAATATACATAATATATTTTAGACGTTATGATTGGTTTAGAGATCATTACGTCAACTGTAAATAATTCCATGCAAACAATGGTCTGCCCATGGACAGTAGACAAAAAGAGTTGGTATGCTTTGAGCAATGCTCAAACGGATTCAGCATTCCTTGAGTTGTATTCCAGATTCCAAAGCTCAGATTCCAGATTCCACAAGAAAAAACTATTGGATCCCAGATTGCACGAGCAAAAATTTCCAGGATCCCGAATCCGGATTATTTTCTAGGAGGCGATCTGTCTTAAAAATTACACTAATTGTTTTAATGTAGGTTAGCAGACTGGAATTTTTCAATACGAAAGAGCTATAAACTAAGCAGAAGGAAAGTAACGAGAAGTTACTGCAGGATTTGCATCACTTAGGCTTCAAGGGGATCGTTACTTTTGGGAGTTAGGAACAGTTGACTTAAACATAAGTGGATATAAAATGATATAATTCACTTCCACGAATGTGGGGCATTTAGGGCGTGGCACAAACTCTGGGAATACGGAAGAAGTAACTTCTTTAATAACAATGAAAATAATTTTCCTCTCACAACATGTATTTAAATCACGCCAGTGTCAATCATCCACATTTTTTGCACTATTCATTTGTTGGGAATAGGCCCTGAAGCCCATATGTTTTATTAGTCCTACCGTCATCACTGCGAGTGTTGTTTTTCGCCGTGGGCAGCAAGTTGGTCGTTGTTTTACTATTTGTTGAATTTGAGGTAGTTCTGTAGAAGAAACAGGTAGAAAGAACTTGAAATGACATGCCCTGGATTAAAGAATTACTGAGAAAAAAAGCTGATCTAACTTTTCTTATTCCCACTCTGACTTATTAAGGACACAATACCATACACTTTACTCCATTCGTTTCTTTTCCCTTTCGTTCTCTTTGCGATATAAGCTACCGTGCGTATGGACATCGAATAAAAGGCGGGAAACCTTTCAAAGAAAGTTAAACTATTTTTTAGCTGCTTCTGCGGTACAACTTCTCTTTTTCATCCATTCAAAAACATGTCGATTTGTTTTGTATATAGCGCTATCCAATAGTTAAATCTCTATCCAGCGGAACAGAATTAAGGAAACCAGTTGTGTTATCCACCTTTCGAGTACCTGAGTCCTGAAGTTGAATTACCTATTCACCGAAATCTGGCTCTTAATAGCTGCAATTAGACTGTGAGTAGTCTCTCTTTTTCTATACTTTTTACAGGTGAGAACTGTGAGAACTGCGGAGTAACGTAAAGTATAGAATAGGTCACGCATCTCGCGCGTGGCCCTTGCGTGTCTCGCGTTTTGCTCGACGGACTACAGAAAAAAGAGAGACTGCTCGTAGTCTAAGCTGCAATTTGCCCCCGGCGTTTTTTCATGCTGCTGTATCTTGTTGTGACTCCATCGAGGAAAAATGTTTTTGACGTGACGACTGTGTCAATATTATTGAAAAATTTTCGTGTATTCTTATATGACAGCTAACGCGCACATCCTGTTCCGGGTCTTGTGTTTGTTAGAACAAACCAAACGATTACAACGCATTTTTTGTTTTATTGTTTTCTCTGAGATTGCCACAGAAAGCGGCAAACCACAAAGCTTTAATAAGGCAAGGATTACAAACTTAGTCCTGGTATGAGTAGCATTTTTGCTATTTAAACTTCGTTTGATCTGTACTTTCAAGCGGATTAACCTTCATGCCACAAAGTGTCTATGGGTTACATAATTTAAGAAAACAATGCTTTCGGAATGTATGTGGATGGCATAAAACCTGGGTTTTTCCCTAGAGGAAAAATCTAGTCAGTATCACTGATCAGTTTTTACGACTAGCTTCTGCGCTCAGACTCGAGAGAAATCAAGCTTGCAAAAAAAACCTCATGCAGATGATAAGGAGAAATGTTTATAATCTTTAGGGATTAAGTCAATAAAATGCTTAGAAGAATGTCAGCAAACAATAGCGGCAACATGCTTTCGTAGTGAGTGGTCCTTGTTCTCGTTCATTTATTATGTAACTAAATAATAAAAAAAACCCGCATTTTCCCTCGTCCCTTGAATTTCTGTTTTCTTTTTTCATGACGTTATCGACATTTTTGGCGATGGGGAAGGAGGAGTAGGGATGAGTGCTGGCATGAACTGAAGCCTGAAAAAAATGATACCACCTTCGGAATCATTAGGGAGTGCCTTCCCCGCCCGTAGGGGTACGTAGCGCTTATTTCAAATGAGTGGGAGGTTGCTTCAACATACGTAGTGAACCGATGTCTCACCGACTTCTCACGATCAAGTGAGGATTCACAACGAGTGATACCTCTCCAGAGGCCATATATTATTTACCCTCCGGGATCATTAGATTTGACTGTCAACGTGTATAAGATCCAGTATGAGTACAATCTAAGACTGAATTTTGAGCCCGCTTCCTAAGAATTCCCATTGCTGAACGTGACATACTAGAATGGAGTATGGGAAACGGGTGTCACTGTGGATTTAACCTAGGCAGGGCACATGAACTTGGTTTGAAAACGTGAACGCCTTGTCCAATCTAAAGGCCACTACTCTATTTGCCTTCTTTACAAGGTGAACACTCCTCGAAGACGCCAACGTACTTAATTTTATTTGTCATTTAATTAGAATAAAAATTGAACTGATCATACAAATGGAAGACATTGCTCCTCATCTCACGCGATGGAACTCAAGCTTGGGGACGGGTTCGTGATCTTAGCACCGTCATTCAATTAGGGTTAATTAAAAATTCTGACTGATATGGTCGAGTAAGAATCTCCCTTATAACCTCAATTATACACCTAAATTCAAATTATCAATTTAAGAATAACGTGTTTGTAGGGCTTTTAGTTTCTGCGGCGTATTTCTCGTCGCTTTTAATACTTCACTGTCTTAACGAGTCGACGAGTAGAATACTGGAGTTTTGAGACTTATAATTAAACGAAAAATCTTTGGTATTATAGTTATTATACAAAGTTCTCGAGACAAAAACACGAATGGATTAGTTTCGCTTACGGAAGTTATTATCAGTCCTTTGTGCGGCGCGACAGATCACGTAAACTTCACAAAAATCGATATTTAGTATCGATAGGTTAAATTGAAAAATGGATTTTTTCTTTAAGTATTGACAAAAATATACAACGTTGTTTACGATAGTCAAGGATAACTTTTTGTCAGTATTACTCTGTCTTAGAGATAAAAGGAAAACTCATACGGTAACAAATAACTTGCCCTTATGCCCTACAAAAGCAGGCAAAATTCTGAAGGAAAGATGGAATTTTTCTACTCGAAGATTTCAGCCATAAATGGAATCTGAACCACAAGTACCTTGCACTAGCACCGGTATGATACGTGTCAAAGTAGACTTTCTAAACGATAAAGAATTATCCTAAAACAGACAGTGTATAACACCTCCATTGAAGAAATGTTGCAATAAATAAACGAAATGCTTTTATCTCGAGCTGAAGAAGTAGACTTCAACAGAGTGACTTATTTTAATACTCGAGGGTACTAAGGTAGAGCAAGCGAAAATTTAAAAAGTCAATCACCACCACATATTTCGTTCATCCGCCAATATTAATCTCTTGAAAGGAAAAGATACAATACACTCTTTTTTTTTTTATAAGAATGTTGTTTTTCCGGCCCAGGCTGAATATTCTTATTTTTCTGCCGATTTTAGGCTGAAAATATTCTTGTATTATTCTTAAATTATAGCTTATGACATTTCCGTTTTAGAATTTATTGGGGTATATGTATATGTGTTACATGTACCGTTCATGGAACTGTCATTAGCGTTGAACATTTTGCTATAGCTAGTGCAGGTTTTTTCGTTTTGTTGGCTAGTTTCGCCGTTCAGAGAAAGGAATAATTTTATACGGTTAAGTTAAAAACATAAAATTGTATTGTATTTACAGATGTTTCAACACACAAAATTATATCTATCCTTTTCAAAATCTCAGCCTCGGCTTTATTCTTAAAATATTCTTAAAATTTCGCAAATTTCAGCCTCGATATTCTTATAAAATATATTCTTATATAAAAAAAAGAGTGTAATCAGCTTCAAATTTTAAAAAGTGACAATTTTTGAAAGTGAAATTGCTCACCTTCAGTTTTGGAGTATGGGCATAATGAAAACGAATAAATGTAATTTCACACATGAAAATCATTGAAAAATATACTGAGAAATGAGCCTTAAGTTTTCTTCAGTTTGCCTTTAATAATTTTTTATACTTCAGTGTTTGTGTATTTCCTTCCAGGGTCTTCCAAATCCTGACTTAGCCCACAAGACTAGGTCGTTTGACTTCCACAGACCTCCGTTCTTTTGCCCGTTCTTTTTTTATTCAAATAAATCGAATTTTGACAGGCTGGAATTTTCTTACATCCAGTTTTTTCTTACCCGGGGGGGGGGACACTCAACAAAGTTTTATACTGGGAGGCTGCTCCCCAAGGTCCCACCCCTAAGCCTTTTCAGAATACCGAAATGACCGATTTCTGAAGCCTTTCATAAGCTTCAACTCGTTAAATCCCAACTCTTTTATATACTAGAAGCCCGAATAAGATACCCCCTTCGGCCGGCGCCTCCCAGTATACTTATTTGCTGCTGGTAAGCGGTCGGGCTAATAAGAGACAGTACACCACAGGCCACTATAGGGTGTACCCCCCCGGATCTGAACGGTCACCTCCATCAGCGAAGGAAATTCTCAGGTGGCAACGAGCGCGCATATTTCTCCTGTATTTTAATAAAATCTACAGTCTCCAATTGAGAAGAAGCCATCTTCCTTTACAAACGAGCAGTGAACGTACGAGTCCTCGGTCAGTTTATAAATACGAGAGACCTAAACGTATTTGACGTTTTGTATAAGAGGAATAATGGCAATCGAAAAATCAAGTTTACTTACCCATTTGAGCTGAAGTGGACTGGATGACGCTGGCTATAGAACACGATGAAGAATACTGTTGGTAATGATACGAGTAGACTACGAGTAGTCCCCCAT